TTTGGTTCAGTCCCGGCGAAGACCTTACAACTTCGTACAGCTAACTAAACCAGGACTAAACCAGGACTGAACCAGGACTGAACCAGGACTGAACCAGGACTGAACCAGGACTGAACCAGGACTAAACCAGGACTGAACCAGGACTAAACCAGGACTAAACCAGGACTAAACCAGGACTAAACCAGGACTAAACCAGGACTAAACCAGGACCAAGAGCCGTACCTCTCTGAGCTGAAGTTTGATGCTGTGACGATGACGTCGTCTTTGTTCTGAACCAAAACTGGAATTTTTCTGCAGCCGGGAGACTTGAGTAACCTCTGTAACAACTTTAACGTCTCTGTGGAGAAAAGAAACCATCAGACCGACATCATCTGCACCATCTGCTCCTCCTCTGACCCTCTCCTCTTCATCCTCTTCATCCTCTGACCCTCTCCTCTTCATCCTTTGCACCATCTGCTCTTCCTCTGCATCCTCTCCTCCCCTAACCCTCCCTTCTCCTTCCTCTGCTCCTCTGCCTCTCCTCTTCATCCTCTGACCCTCTCTTCTTCATCCTCTTCATCCTCTGACCCTCTCCTCTTCATCCTCTTCATCCTCTGACCCTCTCCTCTTCATCCTCTTCATCCTCTGACCCTCTCCTCTTCATCCTCTTCATCCTCTGACCCTCTCCTCTTCATCCTCTTCATCCTCTGACCCTCTCCTCTTCATCCTTTGCACCATCTGCTCTTCCTCTGCATCCTCTCCTCCCCTAACCCTCCCTTCTCCTTCCTCTGCTCCTCTGCCCCTCTCCTCTTCATCCTCTGACCCTCCCTTCTTCATCCTCTTCCTCCTCTGACCCTCTCCTCTTCATCCTCTTCATCCTCTGACCCTCTCCTCTTCATCCTCTTCCTCTGACCCTCTCCTCTTGACCCTCTCTTCATCCTCTTCTGACCTCTCTCCTCTTCATCCTCTTCATCCTCTGACCCTCTCCTCTTCATCCTCTGACCCTCTCCTCTTCATCCTCTTCCTCCTCTGACCCTCTCCTCTTCATCCTCTTCATCCTCTGACCCTCTCCTCTTCATCCTCTGACCCTCTCCTCTTCATCCTCTGACCCTCTCCTCTTCATCCTCTGACCCTCTCCTCTTCATCCTCTGACTCTCCTCTTCATCCTCTTCATCCTCTGACCCTCTCCTCTTCATCCTCTTCATCCTCTGACCCTCTCTCCTCTTCATCTCTTCTCCTCTGACCTCTCCTCTTCATCCTCTGATCCTCTGACCCTCTCCTCTTCATCCTCTTCATCCTCTTCTCTGACCTCTCCTCTTCATCTTCATCCTCTGACCCTCTCCTCTTCATCCTCTGACCCTCTCCTCTCTCCTCTCTCATCCTCTGACCTCTCCTCTTCATCTCTGACCCTCTCCTCTTCATCCTCTTCATCCTCTTCATCCTCTGACCCTCTCCTCTTCATCCTCTTCATCCTCTGACCCTCTCCTCTTCATCCTCTGACCCTCTCCTCTTCATCCTCTGACCCTCTCTTCTTCATCCTCTGACCTCTCCTCTTCATCCTCTGACCCTCTTCATCCTCTGACCCTCTCTTCTTCATCCTCTGACCCTCTCCTCTTCATCCTCTGACCCTCTCCTCTTCATCCTCTGACCCTCTCCTCTCATCCTCTGACCCTCTCTTCTTCATCCTCTGACCCTCTCCTCTTCTTCTCTGACCCTCTCCTCTTCACCTCTGACCTCTCTCTTCATCCCTTCATCCTCTGACCCTCTCCTCTTCATCCTCTTCATCCTCTGACCTCTCTTCCCTCTGACCCTCTCCTCTTCATCCTCTGACCCTCTCTCTTCTCCTTCATCCTCTGACCTCTCCTCTTCTCATCCCTCTGACCCTCTCCTCTTCATCCTCTTCCTCCTCTGACCCTCTCCTCTTCATCCTCTTCATCCTCTTCTCTCTCTCTCTCCTCTTCATCCTCTTCCTCTGACCTCTCTCCCTCTGACCCTCTCCTCTTCATCCTCTTCATCCTCTGACCCTCTCCTCTTCATCCTCTGACCCTCTCCTCTTCATCCTCTTCCTCCTCTGACCCTCTCCTCTTCATCCTCTGACCCTCTCCTCTTCATCCTCTTCTCCTCCTCTGACCCTCTCCTCTTCATCCTCTGACCCTCTCTCCTCTTCATCCTCTTCATCCTCTGACCCTCTCCTCTTCATCCTCTGACCCTCTCCTCTTCATCCTCTTCATCCTCTGACCCTCTCCTCTTCATCCTCTGACCCTCCTCTTTCTCTCTTCATCCTCTGACCCCTCTCCTCTTCATCCTCTCCCTCTCCTCTTCATCCTCTTCATCCTCTGACCCTCTCCTCTTCATCCTCTTCATCCTCTGACCCTCTCCTCTTCATCCTCTTCATCCTCTCCCTCTTCTGACCCTCTCTCTTCATCCTCTGACCCTCTCCTCTTCATCCTCTTCATCCTCTGACCCTCTCCTCTTCATCCTCTGACCCTCTCCTCTTCATCCTCTTCATCCTCTGACCCTCTCCTCTTCATCCTCTGACCCTCTCCTCTTCATCCTCTTCCTCCTCTGACCCTCTCCTCTTCATCCTCTGACCCTCTCCTCTTCATCCTCTTCATCCTCTGACCCTCTCCTCTTCCTCCTCTGACCCTCTCTCTTCATCTCTTCATCCTCTGACCCTCTCTCTTCATCCTCTGACCCTCTCCTCTTCATCCTCTTCCTCCTCTGACCCTCTCTTCTTCTGTATTTTTACCTTGCAGGACGTTGGCTGGACACATGTCTATTTTGGTGACCACCACAAACACCGGGACGTTCAGCGCCAGAGCCAGACCCAGGTGTTCTTTGGTCATGCCCACGATGCCCGCGTTACTGCCCACCTACGCAAAATATAAAAAAACAAACCACTTACGGGTGAAAATAACAAATAAAATAAACTTGCAGATGGTAGCTTTAAGAGGATTTAAACAGGTCTACACCAGGACTAAACCAGGACTAAACCCGGTCTAAACTCGGCCTCGTTCGTACCATGAGCATGCAGAAGTCCGGCAGGTGCCCGGTCATCCCGAACACTGTGGTCTTGAGGTACTTCTCGTGTCCGGCCAGGTCGATAAACGTGATGATTTTAGAGGATTTCTCACAGATCTTGGTCCAGTCCAGACTCCCCCCGTGACTGTCCGGTTTGTTCACCACCTGCACGAAAGGATCAAGTCGGATTAAGAACCTGGAATTGGGAAAATAAATAAAAAACAAAATAAACAAGAGCTCGGTGCTTCGATTCAGCGATGTTGATGTGTCCTGTGTGTTTTATTTTTCTTTATTTCTCGTAAACCGCTCTGTTTCTTTACACATGAATAGACCGTGCTTCTCTCTGATTGGTTAATCCGCCTGTCAATCATGGCTTTTAAAACTGGGAGACAGAAAACGGCTCCAGATCCGCTCGTCTTTGTGAAGTTTTGTCAGAGCGTGTGGTTCTGGCTGGACAGGTGACCTCCCTCTTTCGTCGGTACCTGCCCTTCCTCCCCCTGCTGCACCTGTTCCTCCACACAAAGAGGGATTCTTGAGATATTTGTGGATTTACAAACTCGCGAGAATCCATCTGTACGGTGAAGGTGAAGCAGAGAAATGAACCTAAACAAACATGGTGACGCCCACAGACGTACTTCAGAATCTGTCAGCGTTACTGCAGTTTGAGCATTTGTGGACAGGGAGGATGTGCTTTTCTCTCAACTGGATTTAATAATAAAAATAAATAAACTTGTTCTGCAGTTATGACACTTTCATGACTCTCTGTCAGGGTTCCCGCTCTTTCACTGACAAAATTTCAAAACTTTTCCATGACTTTTTCATGACCTAAACTGAATTTTTCATGATTTTACAGCACCTACATGTGTAGAAATGATCAGACTTTTAGGATTAAATATGAAATGTTAACTCTTTCCACTTATTTTATGGTTTGGGATTATAGTTTTTTAACATTCAAAATCCTGTCAGAGGAATTTATTGTCGTCTCTTTTAAACAAAAAGCACAGACGTTCAGAAATAATCAGAATAGTCTAATGAGAACTCTGTAGATGCGTGAAAGAGATACTAAAATTCCATGACTTTTCCAAAACTTCCATTGAATTTACAAAATTCCATGACTTTTTCAGGCCTGAAAAATGACATTTTCAATTTCCATGACTTTTCCAGGATTTTCATAACTGTATGAACCCTGCTGTGTGTTTTCCGTTCGCGTTCAGTCAGAGCCGTTTGGATGAATAATGTGTAGAACTCAATACAGAGTGACACAGTTATATGGTACCTGCCGCTCCCTGTCCCAGTCGTCTCTGATGTACCTGCCCCTTACACCCGTCGCCCCTGTCGCCCCTGTCGCCCCTGTCACCCCTGTCGTACCTGCCCCTCCTGGTCGAAGCCCAGGATGTCGTTGCCCACGCTGCTGGTGCGGCCGCTCTCCATCTCGTGTTTGTGTCTGAAGAGTTTCTGTCGAGCGAAGCCTCGGCCGTTGTCCAGCTCCCCGTGAGTCAGGACGCCCAGGAGAGTCGACTTCCCCGCGTCAACGTTCCCCACGACGGCCACTCTGACGGAGAGACCAGAAGAGACAGGGTCAGGGCAGGACTGGACCAGGACTGGACCAGGGCTGGACCAGGGCTGGACCAGGACTGGACCAGGGCTGGACCAGGATTAAACTAAAACTAAACCAGGACTAAAACAGGACTAAACCAAGACTAAACCAGGATTAAAACAGGATTAAACTACGTCTAAACCAGGACTAAACCAGATCTAAACCAGGATTAAACCAGGACTAAACCAGGTCTAAACCAGGTCTAAACCAGGACTAAACCAGGATTAAACCAGGAGTAAACTACGTCTAAACCAGGACTAAACCAGGACTAAACCAGGATTAAACCAGGACTAAACCAGGACTAAACCAGGTCTAAACCAGGTCTAAACCAGGTCTAAACCAGGACTAAACCAGGATTAAACCAGGAGTAAACCAGGATTAAACCAGGACTAAAACAGGACTAAACTAGGACTAAACCAGGGACTAAACCAGGACTAAACCAAGACTGAACCAGGATTAAACCAAGGACTAAACCAGGATTAAACCAAGGACTAAACCAAGTCTAAACCAGGACTAAACCAGGACTAAACCAAGTCTAAACCAGGGACTAAACCAGGACTAAACCAAGTCTAAACCAGGACTAAACCAGGGACTAAAGGACTGAACCAAGACTGGGGATGGGAGGGCATCTGGCACAGTACCCACCGGACCTCGAGGAAGTCCTGCTCCCCGACCCTCCTGCGGATCAGATAGTCCCGGACTTGGCCCCCGGACTCCGGTCTCTCTCGGAGCAGGACCAGGTCTGCGTCGATGGTCTCACACAGAGACTTCACCGTGGCAACGGACGCCTCCATGTCCAACGCATTCAGACCGTAATCCCCTCCATCTGCAAACACACAGGGTTATAGACCAGGACCAGGACTAGAGCAGGACTAGAACAGGACTAGAGCAGCAGGACTAGAGCAGGACTAGAGAAAGGACTAGAGCAGGACTAGACCAGGACTAGAACAGGACTAGACCAGGACTAGAACAGGACTAGAACAGGACTAGAACAGGACAGGACTAAAGCAGGACTAAAGCAGGACTAAAGCAGGACTAAAGCAGGACTAGAGCAGGACTAGAGCAGGACTAAAACAGGACTAAAACAGGACTAAAGCAGGACTAAAGCAGGACTAAAGCAGGACTAGAGCAGGACTAGAGCAGGACTAGACCAGGACTAAAGCAGGACTAGACCAGGACTAAAGCAGGACTAGACCAGGACTAGACCAGGACTAGACCAGGACTAGACCAGGACTGAAGGAGGACTAAACCAAGACCAAACTAGGACTAAACTAGAGCTGAACCAGGAGAATTAAACTAAAACTAAACCAGGACTAAAGCAGGACTAAACCAGAATTAAACCAGAATTAAACTAGGACTAAACCAGGACTAAAACAGGACTAAACCAGAATTAAACCAGAATTAAACTAGGACTAAACCAGGACTGAACCAGGACTGAACGAGGACTAAACCAGGACTAAACCAGGACTAAACCAGGACTGAACAAGGTCTGAATGAGGACTAAACTAGGACTGAACCAGGACTAAACCAGGACTGGACCAGGACTAAACCAGGACTGAACCGGGACTAAAACAGGACTAAATCAGGACTGAACGCGGTCTGAACCAGGACTAAACCAGGACTGAACCAGGACTAAACCAGGACTGAACAAGGACTAAACCAGGACTAAACCAGGACTGAACCAGGACTGAACCAGGACTGAACAAGGTCTGAACGAGGACTAAACCAGGACTGAACAAGGTTTGAATGAGGACCAAACCAGGACCAAACCAGGACCAAACCAGGACTAAACCAGGACTAAACCAGGTCTAAACCAGGACTAAACCAGGACTAAACCAGGACTAAACCAGGACTAAACCAGGACTAAACCCGGTCCGTTTGTGATGTAAAATCCCTCTGCATTGTGCTCCTTCAGTGTGTCTGGCCCGTTCGACCCTGGACACTGGAGCGTTTTGTTGTGGAGTTATTCGTGTCACAGCTGTTTGTGTGACGGGTCAGAGGTCACAGAGGAGAGGGTCAGATTTCCCACGCTCAGCAAACGCCCCGCGACGCCTTCACGTCCACGAATAATATAGAAATTTACAGTAGTGCTGCTCCCAGACTGGTTAAACTGGACAGAGGAGCCGCGATACTATTTACACAAACCTATTCTGGCATTTAGCGAATGTGGGAGGGGCAATTGAACTGTTGTTGTGTCCTTTGGCAAGACACTTCACCCACTCAGCCTGTGCCTATAATAACGTTTACATAGACAGAACAAGCCCCCATATTATTCAAAACGGAAATGCATTTGTTTTCATTTATTTTTTCCAATAATAAGACCATCTTTGTAATTGATTTGAGCAATAAATGTAATGAAACAGATTTATTAATTTATTTTGCATGTATAACATACCAATGGGTTCGGTCAAGTGGTAACGGAGGGAAACAGGGGCAGATTTTTGACATTCAAATGTCTCTTATTCAGAAACTAGAGGAACTATTGAAATAAGTAAAGTATCAGAATGTAGGAAAGAGTTACACTCCAACAGGGTCAAGTTAAACCTGTGATATTCTTTCAAGTTGTTGACAAAAAATTTAAAAACTCATGTCGGTAACAGAGGGAATGAAATATGCAGCACTTTTTGGTCAATAAATCCAAACAGTGATAACTCTTGGTTCTCACTTACATATCCTTAACAAACTGGTTTGAATATTTGCTTCATATAGTTTTCTACCATATGGTACAAGATTAGGTTGAAAAACCTCTTACTTTTTGACTCATGAGATTTTTTATTAAGAAAGGTTCATGGTAACGGAGGGAAAAGTAACAGGAGGGAAAATTGTGCAAACAAGTAGAAGGTGCAGGATTTTACATCATTTGTCGCTTTTTTCTTCTGAATACTTTAATATTACTTCAAAATGAAAGGAAACTATTTCTATAAAATATGTCAGTCCTTCCAAGCAAATTTTTATCATTTTAAATCTTTTTTTGGGAAAAAATCATGTCCCTTCATCAACAGTTCAAAGATGGAATAACACAAGATATGATGAAATACATCCATTTATTTACATGATTTTTGGGTCTTTGAAATTTGGGAAATAATTTTTGTTCCATGTTTCATACATGGTCTGTTTAAAAACACATGGAACTTTAGAACCAAAAATGGTCCAGTAAAAAGGTCAACAGTTTCATAAACTAGAGTACATATGTATCTGTTCAATACATTTTTATATCAGATGCATTAACTTGAATTTTTGGCCTTGTGTTTACTTCTGCTTGACCGGGCCCAAATTAAAAAACAAAAAAAAACAGACACAATAGATAAAAAGGAGGTGCCAGAAGAGGCAAAAAAAAAAAATAAAAGTTTATAGATGCTGGTCTTTTTATGTCAACTTTTTTTAGTATTAAGTTTTAGTATTACTTTGCAATGGTGTCACGCTGGGGGGGGGTTTACATGTTTGTGTATTGGTGGAATGTTCAGCAGTTACCATGGTGATATAATGGAGCATTAGGAAACACAGGTGTAGGTTTTAAGATGGTTTGAAAACTCAAGAAACGTTCAAGGTCCCGTTGAAGTGTTTGAATTTCAATTAAAAAATGGAAAGAGACGAACTGAACAACTGCAGGTTAAAACTAGACAGAGTGAGACTGTAAAGTTGTTTGAGACTTGTTTAACGGTTAAAAAGAATTCTCAGATTCAGAATGCCATAGTTCCTCCTAAACCAGCTCTTCCTGGTTATATTATGTTAAAATAAAGATCAGATTAAAGTCTAACAAAGACTAAGACAGAGCAGTGTCTACAGTTAGAGTCACACCCGCAGGGAATGGTTTAACATTCTTTTAATGTTGTTTTACAATTGTTTCAGTATTGTTTAGTTTTGTTTTAATATTGTTTTAGCAAGGTTTTAGTTTAGTTTTAGTTTTATGTATTGTTTAGTATTGGTTTAGCTTTGTTTTTAGAATTGTTTTTGTATTGTTTAGTATCATTTCAACATTGTTTTAGTTTAGTTTTAGCTTTGTTTTAGTTTTGTTTGAACCTTGTTTTACTACTGTTTTAACATTGTTTTAGTATTGTTGTAGTTTTAAGTATTGTTTTAGCCTCGTTTTAGCAAGGTTTTAGTTTAGTTTTGGCATGAGTTTAGCATCGTTTTACTATTGTTTTAGCAAGGTTTTAGCATAGTTTTAGTTTTGTTTTAGTTGTGTTTTAGCATTATTTTAGCATTGTTTTAGCATGTTTTTGCATAGTTTTAACATTGTTTTTAGCATTGTTTTAGTTTAGTTTTAGCATCCTTTTAGCATTGGTTAAGCATTGTTTAAAGTTTAGTTTTAGCATTGTTTTAGCATTGTTTTTTTAGCCTTGTTTTACTATTATTTTAGAATTGTTTTAGTTTTAGTTTTATTTCAGTTTTGTTTTGGCTTTGTTTTAGTATTGTTTTTGCGTTGGTTTAGTATTGTTTTAGCTTTGTTTTAGAATAGTTTTAGTATTGTTTAGTATCATTTTAACATTGTTTTAGTTTAGTTTAAGCTTTGTTTTAGCTTTGTTTGAACCTTGTTTTACTACTGTTTTAACATTGTTTTAGTATTGTTGTAGTTTTAAGTATTGTTTTAGCCTCGTTTTAGCGAGGTTTTAGTTTAGTTTTAGATTTGTTTTGGCATGATTTTAGCATCGTTTTAATATTGTTTTAGCGAGGTTTTAGCATAGTTTTAGTTTTGTTTTAGTTGTGTTTTAGCATTATTTTAGCATTGTTTTAGCATGTTTTTTGCATAGTTTTAACATTGTTTTTAGCATTGTTTAAGTTTAGTTTTAGCGTGGTTTAGCCTTGTTTTACTATTATTTTAGCCTTGTTTTAGTTTTATTTTAGTTTTGTTTTAGTATTGTTTTTGCATTGTTTGTTTTTGTGTTGGTTTAGAATTTTTTTAGTATTGTTTAGTATCATTTTAACATTGTTTTAGTTTAGTTTTAGAGTTGTTTTGGCATGATATTAGCATCGTTTTAATATTGTTTTAGCATAGTTTTAGTTTTGTTTTATCATTGTTTTTAGCATTGTTTTAGTTTAGATTTAGCTTTGTTTTAGCATTGTTCAATATTGTTTTAGTATGTTTTTTGCATTGTTTTAGTATTGTTTAGTATCATTTTAACATTGTTTTAGCCTTGTTTTACTATTATTTTAGCCTTGTTTTAGTTTTAGTTTAGTTTTGTTTGTTTTTTTAGCATTGTTTTACTATTGTTTTAGCATTAAGTATTGTTTTAGCCTTGTTTTAGAATAATTTTAATTTTGTTTTAGCATTGTTTTACAATGGTTTAGCATTGGTTTAGCATTATGTTAGTATTGTTTTTGCATTGTTTTAGTACTGTTTAGTATCATTTTAGTTTTATTTTAGCATTGTTTTAGTATAGTTTTATTTTTAAGTATTGTTTTAACCTTGTTTTAGTTTTGTTTTAGCATTGTTTAATATTGTTTTAGCGTTGTTTAATATTGTTTTAGCGTTCTTTAATATGTTTTAGCGTTCTTTAATATTGTTTTAGCATGTTTTTTGCATTGTTTTAGTATAGTTTAGCATCGTTTTAGCCTTGTTTTAGTTTAGTTTTAATTTAGTTTTAGTTTTATTTTAGTGTCTGTGAGTGGGGGTCAGTGTTTTCACCTGAGCCCATCCCGATGACGTAGATGGTCTCCCCGCTGCCCTCCTCGATCCGCTCTCGTAGGTGTCTGAGTAACGCGTCGTACTGTTTGGCGTTCGGACTCACCAGGAGGAACTGTAAAGAGTCGAATCACAGGCAATTTGGGATTTTTACAACAGTTTGTACAAGAAGCTCGTCAAAACACAACAGCAGGTCATAATTCATCCCCGTACTCTCAGTGATAATAAACTTCTCAAACCCCAGAAGTATCATAGCAGCCCAGAACGCTCTCTCATCCACTTTCTCTCAGGTCTGTTTTTACAAATACAAACTATTCAATCCACATCCTTTTGCAGTTTTGAGAAAATGCAAATTCAACTCTTCTGTGTCTGTATAAGCTTATAATCACTAATAATAAGTAGCATATTTCCCGGACTATAAATCGCTCCGGAGTATAAATTGCAGCAGCCAAAAACTGCATAATGAAGAAGAAAAAAACTTATATATACAGTGTTGGGGAGTAACAGATTACATGTACTGGAGCTACATAATCAGAGTACAAATTATGAGTAACTGTATTCAGTTACAGTTACTGTTTCAGTGAGTGGTAATTGGATTACAGATACTTGGTTGAAATAAAAGGATTACATGGCGGTATTTTCCTGTTTTCACATTTTGGGCTATAGGATATATAGGACTGAACCCAGGTCTAAACCAGGACTAAAACCAGGGCTAAAACCAGGTCTAAAACCAGGTCTAAACCAGATCTAAACCAGGTCTAAACCAGGTCTAAAACCAGGTCTAAACCAGGTCTAAACCAGGACTAAAACCAGGACTAAAACCAGGACTAAATCCAGGTCTAAACTAGATCTAAACCAGGACTAAAACCAGGTCTAAACCAGGTCTAAACCAGGACTAAACCAGGACTAAAACCAGGTCTAAACTAGATCTAAACCAGGTCTAAAACAGGACTAAAACAGGATTTAACAGGACGAAACCATGCCGCGCGGACGTGTCGCCTCCTCTTCTGTCAATTATAAAGTAAAGTCTGGGCTTTTTATTGTTTTTTATCAGACAAAACATCTTACGTGAAGATATCTGAGTCTTTGCTGCTCTACAGAAAATGAAGTAATCCAAAGTATCCAGATTATATTAGTCACTTTAAGTAATTTAATGGATTACATTACAAACTACATTTTGGGATATGTAATCTGTAATCTGTAGGGGATTACATTTTAAAAGTCACCTTCCCAACAATGGATATAAATCGCACCGGACTATGAGTCACTTTTTTTGGGGAAATGTATTTTATAAAATCAGAGACCAGGAACCGACATTTCAGCTTGAAAGTCAATTTATAGTAAAAACAACAGAACAGAGAACAACAGACTGAACAGGCGTCTAGTCTGTTAACGTAACATATGAACAGTTCTTCAGATAATTATAGCATAAACAACAGAACATAAGTTTACCAAACTCTCCATCTCACTCCAAATCACTAAATCCATTCAATTCTTCATCATCAGTGTCACTTCTGCGCAACCTCCGGAGATAAACCATAGATCCATGAGATAAACAGAGCGCCGCTTCCTCTTCTGTGTCGCTGTCGTCAGACTCAGCATCAGTTCCAGTTAGAATTATTCGGGTCTTTCTGAATCCCGACAGGATGGTTTCAGTGTCACTAAAGTTCAGGCTTTGTCCATCCATCCAGTGACTTCAGGAAAGTTTCATGGTGCCTCCTCCCGGTTCCCGTGAAGTTGTGTTCTCCATCCCCGCTTTCCGTCAGTCCCTCACAAGTTTCTCGCTCGCTCCAAACTTTCTTTCTATTTATTAATTTTTTATTTATTTATTTATTTGAGACAGGGACAGTGCACAATTGTTGAATTTACCTTAACAGGAGAGATGCACTGTACATCAGGTTGTAGAATCAGTGCTAATTTCCCCCGTCGTCCCTGCTGCTCAATTACTGTTTTCAGCTGAATATTTCACTATTTGCAGCAAGACAGGGTCTTTTTCTTGTTATTCAAGTTTTTATTTTATTTTACAATTTTTACCATATAACATAACACACAGCAGCACATTACTTTGGGCCGAAGGAGTAAAACAACAAATGTATCTGTATATATGTATATGCCAGTGCACTCCATAGCAAAAATAAACAATAAATAATAAAATAAAACTGTCAAAGTGCATGTGACAAGCCTCCGTAAGTCTGTAATTTCCACTCAGTTTAACAAATACAATTAATTTCAATTCTAAATAAAAAGGCCACATCGATACCAAATCCGTAACGTGCAAAAAACAAAGACTTGTTTTCCCAAAGCACCAATTTCAAATGTGTTTTAGTCAATTGAGCAATCAAACCTGTCACAGGCATTTCAATCAAAAACATGTGCACAAGATTTTACAAAAATGTCCATGTATGTTATCATTCAACTGAAGACAGGGTCTTTTTCTACAGGAGACATGCGCAGTAGAGCGAAGTGACAGAACAGGAGGAACAGATATTGACACACAAGATTAGAGACTCTTGTGGCTGTCAGTCTGAAAATTTTAATTTATAAGTTACACCGGAGAATTGCAGGAAACCCAAACCATGAAAAAAAGTGCAACATATAGTCCGAAAAATATGATATATAAAAATATGCATGCTTTATTTTACAAGTATCCAAGTTAAATAGCGCTGTACATTGAAGGTTTAGGTACACTTTATTGAAATTTGTCCTTTGTGTCTGGGGACCCGTCTCCAGATCTTGAGCTTGTCTTAGTCAGGACGACCTTAGCTGGAGGTCTTGACCTGTTGTGCATGTTTTGACTTGACAGAGCAAACAAGAGTGTCAGGAGGAACACCCAAACTCCACACAGAAATCTACTCGCTGTTTCAATATTTGTAAATTTTTTGACATTTTGTTTGATCTGTACAGTTCCGACTCATTTCTTAGTGGTGCACAAAAACATAGTAAGTTAATTTCACTTACTGGGATTATTGCACATTTATTTTATGTTTTGTCTGGCACTACTTTTTGTTTTTAGGTTCATATATTTACAGTAACACCCGCTCCAGTGCTGGATGAAGTACACAATTTTGTTACTCAAGTAAAAGTACAGATACAGAGGCAAATGATTACTCAAGTAAAAGTATCACAAGAAAAAATGTACTTAAAGGGATAGTTCGGATTTTTTGACATAAATCTGTCTGTCATCCCCGTCATCAGTGTTGTGCATCCACACCGACTTACCCCCGAAAGCGTCCGGTGAGCCGAGATACTGGCCCGTTTTGGTGCTGAGGAAAGTAGTTCGGCAAGTTGTGTGGGGACTGTATACTAAAGCGTTTTTCTTCTCAAAGCAATATTTGTTCAAAAGAGTGATACATTTGCATCACAAAACCATCGTCGCCAAAAAAGTCAGATCTCATAATCGCTTGGCGCTATTTTCTCTCCGTACATACCACTGCACGCGGCCGCCAGGTGACAGCCGCGCACCGATCCATCACTTTCTACAGTTGTTCGGCAGTGTTTACACGCGAGAGAGCTAACGAGAGAGCAAGAGCCATAAGTATATGAGCCTGGTTCACTTTGTTTACTGCTCGTTGAATGTTAGCGACAACATGTCTGATTATGACACCGACAATAAAGACTTTGCCTTTACCACAAACCCAAGGGGAGATCTTTGTGAACCCGAATATACTGATGCCGAATTTCACCAGATGGAGTTAGAACAAGCAGAGAGAGAGAGAAAAGACAGAGAAGTGGTACAAGTTGAAGCTGGAGCCGTGAGAGACCGAGTGAACTACAATCACCATCACGTCATTTATAAACTTGTCTACAGTGAACATAGAGCCTCCACTGTGACTGAAGCATGGACGACTAATAGAAACATTGAATCATCCACACGTCCACGTAGCTGCTACCAATAGTGTACGTGATATTTACAATAGTAATAACAGTTGACTTATAAAGTTACGTTTTGTAGAAGCTTCACTGGTGATATGACACTGAGTGATTTACTGCACACAGAGTTACAGCTGATTCTTGAGTCTGTTCTCTTGAAAACGTAGCGGCACTTCTTCGTTCTTACCTGGTTTGGTTTCCACATTGAAGCCAAAGGCAAGAAGCCAAAGTTTCCTCAGCGCAAAGTCCGTGACAGGAAAACAGTGAAAATGTGCGTGGAGATTCAGCCAGATTTTTGTTGTTACAGCCTGGATAATCAAGAGTTCGCACCATTTTTTAGATATATTCATATGTATCTTATACAAGCTTGTATGCTTATGGCTCTAGCTCTCTTAGCTCTCTCGTTAGCTCTCTCGTTAGCTCTCTCGTAGCTCTCTCGTTAGCGGCTCTCTCGCGTGGCGGCGTCTGCGCATGTAAACACTGCCGAACAACTGAAGAAAGTGATGGATCGGTGCGTGTCACCTGGCAGCGTGGCAGCGATTATGAGATCTTACGATATATATATATATATATATATACTTATATATTAGGGGTGTCAAATTATCGCGTTAATTGCGATTAATTAATTACAGTCATATTTAGCACGTTATGTTTTTTAATCGCGTTAATCTCATTTTAATCTCTAACTTTAGTGTTTCTGTATGTGAGTTGCTTTATTATAAAATCTGTTTTTATGTGTTGTTGGGACAACAACAAAACACAACACACACACACACAAAAAAACACATTTATACATCTTTTTTATTTCGGTAATTCACACTCATTGCCGGAAACCCACACAAACGCGCGCAGTAAGAGCGATGTAAACGTCATGTTAACGTCTAAAGTAGGACTAAACCAGGTCTAAACCAGGACTAAAACCAGTGATCTCATATATAAAATATTTCTCTATGAATAATATTTTTAATATGGTTAAGGAAAGACTGGACTTTTTATTGTCTTTAAGTAGACAAAAGTTATTATGTTCAGATTTCCTCGTCTTTGCTACTTTACAGCAAACAGTTTCTTATTCATGGAGACTTGGGCTCAACAGCCAAATTGGAGAGATTTGTTAAACAATAAATGACTTTATAAAGTCACTTTTTTTTTGTTCTATATCAGTCTTTTGATCTGCCACAATAATGTAATAAGGAATTTCAAATGAAAATATCAAATTGAAGGCTTTTCTCAGCAATTTTTAGGTGAGATTAAAATGAGATTAATTAGATTAATTAATTACAGATCATAATTAATTAATCTCTCAATTTTTTTAATCGCATGACAGCACTAATATATATATATATACACACGTTGAAACAATAGAATCAAATAACGAAAATGTATATTTAATTGCAAAACTAGAACAAAGAGGAATATAATTTGAATGCTATTGTACATAGTGTATTAGTGTATATATGGATATTATAACTTATATTTATTTTATTTATTTAATGATTGATTGATTTAATAATATTTATTTTATTTATTATTCATTTCATTAATTTTATTTATTCATTTTATTTTATTTCATTTTATTTTATTTGCATAATCATTCAGGCCCATAATGGAGCTTTCACACCTCACCTCACAACAGAAACTAATAAACACTCATTACGGGCCTGAATGATTACGCTCATAAATCCCCTCACTCAGTACAGATGATTAAACCTGAGCTAATAAACAGAAACTGTAAACAAGAATGGTATTAATTTCAGAAACATTTTCAACCTAAATAAACGTTTTGGATTTCTCCTTTGCCATAGATTCTACCTGGACGACTGAGGGATTCTACAGACAACTCAAATTAAATGCACTAAAAAGACATTTCAGCAGGTCTCAAACCATAAAGGAAAGTACTTTTTACTTTTGAGTCCAAATATAAAATGCAGAGTAGAAAGTACAGACACCTGCTTTCAAATGTACTGATGTAAAAATTAAAAGTATCCACTGTAGATACTTTAAACTGTATTGTACTTTTACTTGTGTACTTGTTTACCTTCCACCCCTGACCCGCTCTGAGGTTAGTGTATAGCAGTAAAACTCCAGCTGGGCACAGTTTAAAGGCGCAACATACGTGTCACTTTCTGCAAAGCCAGCACAAATCAGACAGTGCAACGTCAACACCACACACCACTACAAACTTTTAACGATCTGCAACTTTGGGATTTAACCTAGGTCACATTTCTGCACAATTCTACACTTACAATTTGAAAATATAATTAAATATTGTCATTTTTAGCGCATATATTTGCACTTTTTAACTATGTCAGCTGCTGTAGATGATGATGCATTTGTGATTTGACACTGACTGTTATTACTGACAACTCCTAAACTAATCAGTGTTGTTAAATTAATTATAGAAGAATAAATATTTGTGATGGTTTGAGTTAAACTGTAGGACAACCACAACGTGAATGGGACTTTATTTGCGCTAATTTAAAAAAAATAATTAAATAAAAACTGTGAGATTCAAAGCAACATTTGAGATTTAGGTACTTTAAAGGCAAATGTGCATTTTAAAAAGTTTGTGCAGAGTTTGTGTAGAGTTTTGAGGGGGGCCCACCTTGTTGGTTAGGTCCAGGACATCCGCGGACTCCCCGTTGGGCTCCTCGCCGCCTTCGGAGCGCTCTTCCTCGGATTCAGCCCCGTCCCCGGCTCGGTCTGGGGCGAACATGGACGCGGGAACCACCGTCTCCGAAGTGTCCACCGCCCCCGGCTCCGAGGCCTTTAACGACGCCATTTCAGAGCTTAAAAACTGCGGGAAAAGTGAGGAAAAAGTTACTCCAAAATAAAAACAAACTGGCGCTGCCCGATCTGTGTCATTAGTGCACTGCGCATGCGTGAGCAGGACAGTTCCATTTTAGTACGGCGAGGACTCGGGGACAAAAAACAAACCTGTTATTTAATTTATTTATTTTTTTTCTTTTATATCTACAATAAAAATAAAATAAAATAAAAAACATATATAATCTATAATATCCATATATAGTGTATATATAGTGTATATCTATATATCTATATATTATATATATATATATATATATTATATATATATATATATAGATATATATATATATATATATATATATATATATATATATATACACTAATACACTATGTACAATAGCATTCAAATTATAAATTCCTCTTTGTTCTAGTTTTGCAATTAAATATACATTTTCGTTATTTGATTCTATTGTTTCAAAGTGTATATTTTTTTTAAAGAATGAGTTAAACGAGTTTCTAAAAGTATCTATATACTACCCTCTATACATGAAACTGTAACACTAAATACACAGACTTTTTTTTACCACTAAATTGCATATATTGTTTTAATAGACTGTTTTTTGCTATTTTAGTCCAAAATATCTGTCAAAAACGCCCAATTCTAAGTGTGTGCTGCTTCCAGTGGACGTTGCAATTACAAGTACTATGTGATATCACATAAAGCTGCCCTAATTACAAACATAGAATAGACTAGAATAGAATAGACTAAAATAGAATAGAAAGCCTTTATTGTCATTATACAATGGTAAAATGAAATTTAGAGCTGATCCGTCAAAGTGTAAGAATTAATTAATTAATTAATTAATTAACAAATTAACAGTTCTCATTAAGTACGGTGACAGCTTTGGGGAAGAAGCTGTCCCTGAGTCTGTTGGTCGTGGCTGGAACTGACCTGAAGCTCCTGTGTGGATACTTGTTAGACCAGTGACACTGTCCCTTATATCTTATACTTAATAGATTTATTGTTACATTTACAAAGACACTATACTGGTAGACAGAGACATGCACGTCCAACAAAAACTACAACTGCATGCTGGGTCCAAAGACAAAAATTGTGCAAAAGAAGAAAGAGATCTGCCCTAGAGCTCTTTGAAGCTTCCAAATTTTTATTGCAATGACATCACAATGTAACGTTTCAGGTCAAGCCCCTCTTCAGACTTGTCTGACCCGAAACGTCACATTCTGGTGTCATTGAAATAAAAATTTGGGAGCTTCAAAGAACTGCAGTGTGGATCTCTTTCTTCTTTTGCACATTTACCAAGGACCTAATATTTTACAACCTTCTAGCAATGAGAGATTAATAAAAAATAAATTACATAAAGTTGCATTTGTCAGAATTTAAATATATGAAGTGTATAAATCACATCCACCAATAATAAACTGTCAGGGACAAAAGACATCAAAATACATTAATAAAGACACACCAAAACGAGACGGTTAAAATTAATACTTGCGCAAGGAGAGTTGAGGAACTGCCTGCCCCTGGCTACGCTCTAGCCTACTCTGTCCCACAACTCTCCGAGCACTCATTTATTCAAAATCATGACACAGATAAGGTACATTACATGACATCATATCACACAGTGTTTACATGATCACATACTAACAATCTTTTAGTCTAAACCCCCCCCCCCCATTTCACACTTGATTACATGCTCCAGGTGATAAACAATCAGGTCAGTTTTCTCCCAAAAACTTATGTTGAACTCATGATGGGGAAAGCCCTTAGCTGCTTTTCTCATGGAAGATAAATAGATTAGTTTAATGAGTCAAGAACTCCTTAACTAGGTCATATGATTGCATATATGGAAAAACCCAAAAAACAATTATTGATAACTTTATTCATACACACAAATGATTATGTTGTGAAATGATTCATAACACTTAAAATAACATAGAAATTCTCTCACATAAACTTTCTCTAATTTTAATTTTCATATAATATCCTCAATATGCCTCATCTCAGTCACATAAATTTCTTGATTATTTGTACTATTTAGTAATATAATTTAATATTTTTTTCTTTCCTTTGCTTTATCTTTTTCTATTTTTTAATTGAATATTTAATATTTAATTTACTGACTATGAGTGTCTTTTTGTTTTTGTAAATACTGTATATCTTGTTGTATGTTCTATGTATTAGAATAAAAATCGAGTATCGAAATCAATTATTATCGATATTTTTACGGACCGTAATCGATGACGTTATGGTGTCTCCGGTGGTCACGTGGTGCGCGGTCAGCTGACTCGCACTTCCGCGACTGTCTCCCTCCTGTTGTTTACATCTGCGGCGCATCGCTCCGGTTTGTCGCACTTTTCGGGCTTAAATCCAGGTAACATCCGCTTTTATCATCCTTCTCGTGTGACTCTTCGCTTTCTTGCATGACACAGGCAGGTTTTGATCGCGTTTGTCCGTTCAGAAGACTAAAAAAATACGGTGTTTTTGGAGCTGCCTTCGCTCAGTACGACTAACTTTTCAATCTCAGCTTTGCGTCACGTTTGATCGATTTAAAATGAAAATAAAACGCGGACAGCGAAGTGAAAACGGCCAACGCAGTCTTGAGAAAGTGTTCATGCAAATTTAAGTCTTAAATCGAGTGAAAACTATATTATACCTGTGTGTTGTGCTGTTTAAAGTGTAAGGTTTCTGTTCCCTCATTCATTTAAAGGGCACATTTCCTGAGGCGCTGGGAAGAACAGGGTCAGACTCATGACTCTTTGTTTTGAACGAATAATAATATGATCATGTTCCTAGATTAAACCAGAACGCCCTTCTTTCTTTTTATATAAGAGATTTGGTAACACTTTATAGTAGAGTACACTTACTTCACATATAAATACCATAGTTTTGAATGGTTAATTTGTCATTAAGTAGTTTTTATTTAGCCCTTATTGATGTCTATTTTATTTATTTATTTAATAGGGACAGTGCATATTGATGAACATCTACAGCACTGCCGTGTAAATATGACAGATTATAGCAAGAATGTTCATTTCCATCTGTAGTCGGCAGGTAACACCACAAACTTAACAGAAAAAACAAAAACAAGTCACAGATATACATTAAAAGTGTCCACAAGTCTGTTTTTTCTTTAGCCGCTGTTTCAAGTAGGACCTGGAAGTGGCAAGTGTTGGAGTTTCTCTTATTGATAGTGGGAGACAGTTCCAAAATTTAGAGCCTCTGACTGAGACACACTTTGTCCGAGTGTGGAGCGTCTGTGTGGAGCTCACAGTTCCCCCGGACTGTGGCCCTAGTTCCCACTGACGGTCTTTACTTTAATAAAATCCTGTAACAGAGGAGGGCAAGTCCATGCAAAACTTTATAGATAAAACATCCTTATTTAAAATCAACAACATTATTAAAATTAAGCAGATTATACTTGTCTAAAATAGTGCAGTGGTGAAATGAGAGTGGTTTCTTGTCCAGTATTTTTATGACTTTTTAAAAAAGTGATTCGGTGGGTTTGAGTGTGACCATGTGTTTATGCAATATTCTATATGAGACAGAATCATGGAGTGTAAAAACATTCGTGCCGCATATAGAGTCATAAAAGATCTTACTTGTCTAAAAGTTAAAATGAACAGTTTTTGTGAGGCGCTAAATGTGTTTCTTAAATGTCAGTGTCGGGTCCAACGTCAGTCCCAGGGATTTAAACTCTTTTACAAGACTGAGTTCCACCCCGTCCAGAAAGACACTGGACTTCTGTAGATCAATTGTCTAATTCCCCATAAGCTTATTTTGCTATTAGTTAGACATTTACAAACATTTTCCTATAATTAATACACTCTTTATTACTGCTTATTAGATGACACTAAGCCATTTTTGTCCGTGAATTATGATTCTATAATAAGATTTTAGTAATAAGCATGTTGTTAAGGACAAGAAATGTAGTTTTTACTTATTTGCACTTAATAGATTTTTCTTACTCGTATGTAATAAAACACTTGCTATTAGGTGAACTATTAAATTGCATGTCACAAAACATGAGTTAATTGTGAAGAAGAAATCACTTTAGAACAGGGACCATATTCGTTTCAATTTGTGACAAATCCGTCATTTCTTACTTAAGATCAAAACATCACTTTAGAGTGGGGAACATATTTAGAGCTTCATGTGTAAGTTGAAGTCTGTTAACACAATAATGCATTTAGGGCTACAGTGTCAATGAAAGTTGAATATAAATGTTGCTGTTGTGCATCTTTTGGTACCAGTTTTATCTCTATCTTCATAACTTTCTAAGATATGGCAATTTTGTCAGGATTTTGAATGTTTTTTCTTTTCATAATTATCCAATATCCACAAAGGCCAAAGATGAAATGAGAGACATAAAGTTTGTTCTTTCTATAGCGATCATAGACTGTATAAATAGTGGAGTAAGTGAGTGTGACGTCACGTAAAACCAAGTTTCCAGAAAGGATAAGGATGTTATTAAAGAAAAAGAGATTTTTCAGGCTTCTGCAGGCACTAAACTTCAGAGGCTTGGTGGATGCAGTTGACATCTATAGAATTTCATGAAATTTCTCATGGAACTTTACTTTGGGAAGTGTAAAAAACTGATACTAGGTACAGACTGATTTTCAAAACAATTTCTAAAAGTTGGGCGAATGATGCTTCCTAGGCTCCATGGAAAAAATAATTGCCCACCCCTGTGTTAACTCTAGATTAACACTCGCGCTTCAAAGTAAGAAAGATCCTTGATCCTTTCTGTGTGGAGTTTGCATGTTCTCCCTGTGTCTGGGTGCTCCGGTTTCCAGTGTTGGGAGTAACGTGTTATAAAAGTAACAAATTACTGTAATGTGTTGCTTTTTGCTGTAACACAGTAATGTGGCTTTACAGGGGGAAAAAAAGGAATATTTTACTAAAATGAAGACACCTTGTCTGCAAGGCGCTTCAAAGGTCTAGTCCTGGTTTAGTCCTGGTTCAGTCCTGGTTCAGTCCTGGTTCAGTCCTGGTTCAGTCCTGGTTTAATCCTGGTTTAGTCCTGGTTTAGTCCTGGTTTAGGCCTCAGTTCAGTCCTGGTTTAGACCTAGTTTAGTCCTGGTTCAGTCCTGGTTCTGCTCTGGTTTAGTCCTGATTTAGTCCTGGTTCAATCCTTGCTTCAGGCCTTGTTTAGTCCTGATTTAGTCCTGGTTCAATCCTTGGTTCAGTCCTGGTTCAGTCCTGGTTCAGTCCTGGTTCAGCTCTGGTTTAGTCCTGGTTCAGTCCATATACGGCGCAAAAGTTCAGCATCTTTGCAGTTATTTTGGTGAGAATAACTTAAAAGTAATGCAATGTAATGCCTCACATTTTAAATGCAGTAATACTGTAACGTAACAAATTACTTTGAATATATAAATAACGCATGACAGTTTTAAAGTAACTTGCCCAAACAGTGCCGGTTTCCCCCATCAACCCAAAACATGCATCATCTGTCAAATCCTCCAGCCAAGGTCCAGACCAAGACCACGATCACAGAGATGAGTCCTCCTACTTCTGACATGTCCCAGCGGCATTGAAAGGACGGGTCAAATGCAGAGGATAATAATAGAAAAGAAAAAATATTAAACTCTAGATATGTTTTTGAGGAAGTAACAACATTACAACATGTCTTAAACCTCACAAGAGTCCATTTTGCCTGCCTTATATTTACGTACCAGACGTGTTTTGGTGAATATTTCATCGATTCTCTTCTTTGCTTTGTGTATGTCTTGAAATCCACCCTCGATTTAGGAGTGTGTTTCCTTTGTTGACCTGCAGGGGGAGACGGAGGAGGAGCTTTGCCCTCAGTCCGGTGTATGGCAGAGACAGAAGAGCTCAGACCAGATCAGGACCCTCACATAGCACTGGTATTACAGGATTACAGCTCTGCAGTGGAATTCGCTGTGTAACTGTCAGATGTAGATTTGTTTTTGACCCGGTTTATGGCTCGTATCTCTGTAACTCCTGGGCCTATCCACATGAAACAAAAACCGGCACGAAGTTCAGCGTCTTCTCTGTCAGGACGTGACAGAGAACGTGAAATTATTTGTTCACGGCAGCTTCAGAAAGTAATGTTGTGGGTTAATTTAGTTACGAAAGAATTTCTGAAAGGACCTTCACAACAAGTTTATTTTGGGAAATTTCTGGATAAATTTTTTTAACAAATAGTGATAAGATACATATTTTTCAGATAGAGCAGGGACCTATAATACAACTCTACGGGAGTTATAATCGCCAAACTTCTGATCAGTGGCGAAGTCAGCAATTTAAGGGCCCTAGGTGAACTTGAGTGTGGGGCCCTCATAATAATGCAAATAAAAATAAAAAAAATAAAAAAATAAATATATATATATATATATATATATATATATATGTTTATATATATATTTATATATATATATATATATATATTTGTGTGTGTATATATTTATATATTTTTAAAGTATATATATATATATATATATATATATATATATATATATTATATATTTATTTTTTTTTGTCTGTTTTAATATATTTATTGTCTCTTTTTCCTCATTGACATGCACATCTCTATTTATTTCATATATATATACATATATATATATATATATATATGTTTTATATATATTATATATATATATTTGTGTGTGTATATATTTATATATTTTTTAAGTATATATATATATATATATATATATATATATATATTTTTTTTTTTTTTTTTTTTTTTTTGTCTGTTTTAATATATTTATTGTCTCTTTTTCCTCATTGACATGCACATCTCTATTTATTTCAATTATGGTGGGTTGGAAATTTGTCTTATTTGTTAGGTGGTCTACTAGATAACCAGAATTGAAGTAGTAGTAGTAGTAGTAGTAGTAGTAGTAATGGAAGGAGTTTAATATTTTTTTGTTGTTACAATTCCATTTTTGTTTACATCCATTTTATTTTATTTTATTTTATCTTTTTTTTTCTTATGATTATTGTTTAAAAGTACCGTATTTTTCAGACTATAAGTCGCTCCAGAGTTTAAGTCGCACCAGCCAAAAAATGCGCAATGAAGAAGAAAAAAACATATATAAGTCGCACTTTTTGGGGAAATGTATTTTGTAAAATCAGAGACCAGGAACCGACATTTTATCTTGAAGGGCAAGTTACAGTAAAAATAACAGAATAAAGAACAACAGACGGAATAGGTGTCTCGTCTGTTAATTTAACATATGAACAGTTCTTCAGATAATTATAGCATAAACAACAGAACAGAACAAGTTTACCAAACTCTCCATCTCACTCCAAATCACTAAATCCATTGAATTCTTCATCCTGACTCAGCATCAGTTCCAGTTAGAATTATTCTGTCCTTTCTGCACAACCTCCGGAGATAAACCATAGATCCATGAGATAAACAGAGCGCCGCTTCCTCTTCTGTGTCGCTGTCGTCAGACTCAGCATCAGTTCCAGTTAGAATTATTCCGGCGTTTCTGAATCCCGACAGGATGGTTTCTCTGTCACTGAAGTCCAGGCTTTGTCCATCCATCCAGTGACTTCAGGAAAGTTTTCATGCATTTTCTGTTTCTGCCCCTCGGCTGTGGAACCAGTCGCCATTAGAGATTAGAGGCCGAGTTCGTACCTGGTTTTAAATCATTCCTAAAAACACAAATTTTTCACTGGCTTTTAATAGGTGACATGTATATTTCTTGTTGAGTATTTTACTGTTTTCTATGTTTTTTCGTAGCTGTATTGTGTTTGTACCATATATTTTCTTCTACTGTAGTTGTTGTTGTCTGTCCTGTGTTTGTGTTCAGCACTTTGGCCAACTGTAAAGTTTTTTAAAGTGCTTTATAAATAAAGTCAGTATGGTATAGTTACACGGCGCACCCGCCCGGTTGCCGTGAAGTTGTGTTCTCCATCCCCACTTTCCGCCAGTCAATCACAAGTTTCTCACTCGCTCCAAACTTTCTTTCTGCTGCTCGATTACAGTTTTCGGCTGAATATTTCACTATTTGCAGCGAGACAGCGTCTATTTCTACAGGAGACATGCGCAGTAGAGTGAAGTGACAGTGGTACAGGAGTAATAGTAGTACTAGATACTGACACACAAGACTAGAGCCTCTCGCGGCCGTCAGTCTGAACATTTTAATATATAAGTCGCAGGAAACACCCAAACCATGAAAAAAGTGCGACTTATAGACCAAAAAAATACGGTAAACAACTCTCATTTAATGTCATACTGAGAGAAAATCAAATTGCTCTGAGGCTTCGTCCATTAGTGGTACTGAGGGAAACTTTTTGGGGCCCCCTCCAGGTTTGGGGGCCCTAAGCAGCCGCCCACTTTTGCCTAAATGTGACGCCGCCTCTGCTTCTGATCCACAAATGTTTAATCTTCTCTTTATTTGTTTGGAATCGGCTCCACAAACTTGTCGTATTATTTACAGTGCTTAAAGTCCTGTCAACAGACGACACTCACGTCTTTGGGTTTGAACACTGGCACCACTTTCTGAAGCTGTCGTGAACAAATAATTTCACATTTGTTTATTTATCCTGACAGAGAAGACGATGAACTTTGTGCCTGTTTTTGTTTCATGCGGATAGGCCCAGGAATTACAGAGATACGAACCAGTCCGTCAAACGCTTTTCTCCGCGGAAAATGTTGTTGCTTTGTGTGAAATGTTCCACAGTATGGCATTAAACCTTTCTATCTTCATGGAGACCAAACCAGACCAAGTTACGGGTCAGATCAGTGGAGAGGCGACCCCCGCTCACAGTCAGAATGTTGTTTTTTTTGCGGTATTTTTGAGCTGTAAATCCACCTGTAAATGAATAAATATAAAGTCGAGCTGTTTAATGTCTCACTGTGGAACATTCCAGGCAGAGCGATGACGTATCCATAGAAACAAGCAGAGATTCTACGATGTTCGAATGAAACCTGATTTATTTCTATTTTGTTTCCAGGAGACGATGAACGTGTCAGACAGTGAGGACGACTGTTACAATGAGAGAACAGCTCTGGTCCCGTCAGAAAACCCCACGCTCCCGACGTACAGCCCCGAGTTAGGCAACCACCGCGAGTCCCCCTCACGGCACCGGGTAAACACTCCTACTCTAAAAATATGAAACTAATCTGTATGGAAGTGATGGTTTAGACCTGGTTTAGTCCTGGGGGGTATTCCATCAAAGTGGCTTAAAAAACCCAGGGTTTAGTTTAAGCCTCAAGTCGTTCCATGACAGAAATCAGCCTGAGTCTGACCAAAACTAATTCAGGCCTGAGGTTTAAGCTGCACTTTGTGACTCTGAGAAAGCCAGAGCAACGGAGCAACGACAACACGGAAAATGGGCCAAAAATGTGATGTTTTTTTATGATCTGACTAAACAAGAGGAGCCACTGTTCACACCTGCAGAGTTTAATTTGGGCCATGGAACTTTTCTGGTCATTCTGATGTTAGGAGCAAGAGGAAAGAAGCTTCTCCCCCTCCTCTCTCGGTCGCTCCGTGGACAGAGAGGAGGAGCTGTGGAGTGTGGAGCTTGGTTAATACGTTAGAATCGAGTTTCCTGACCCCTTCTTCATGCGCGGTGGTACGCACAGAGCTTAAGTTCTGCTGTGTGTAAAAGTAAAGCTGTAACGGAACTCTTCACATGGACCTAACAAGAAACTATAAAATCCACGCTGACATGTTTACAGTTTGACAGGGAACAAGAGACGAGGTAATGAAACGAGAGAGACAGAAGTGAGGAAGAGCGAACAGACTGTGTGTGTGTGTGTGTGTGTGTGTGTGTGTGTGTGTGTGTGTGTGCGTGTGTGTGTGTGTGTGTGTGTGTGTGTGTGTGTCGTGTGTCACACACACGTGTGCCCCGTGCGTAGGGAAGTATGGTCTATAAAAGTCACTTTTTCACCTGTATCACACACAGGTGTGTGTCTGACACAGGTGTGTGATACATGGGCTGAAACTTTGCACTAAACTGTATTTTTAGACGTTCATAGAGACAAAGCTGAAATAATTTGACAGTTAGTCTGGTCCTGACCAGGTTTGTCTGGGTGCTCGTTACTGCGGCAACTCAGGTCACCTCTGGTCAGTCACTTTAGTGGAACTGAGGCTTTGATAAGCCTGGAATGGGCAGATAAGCACTTTAGCTCACTTCATGGTTTAGTCCTGGTTTAATGTTTGTGTACTGTGTGTTTTAGTCTTGTTTTAGACCTGGTTTAGTTCTGGTTTAGTTGTGTTTTAGTCCTGGTTTAGACCTGGTTTAGTCCTGGTTTAGACCTGGTTTAGTCCTGGTTTAGACCTGGTTTAGTCCTGGTTTAGACCTGGTTTAATGTTTGTGTACCGTGTGGTTTCCAGGGCGTGTCCAGGAGGGCGGGGCCTGATGCTGCCTCCTCATTGGACGGGGAGCAGGAAGCGGAGGATGAGGAGCTGACGTTGAAATACGGCGCCAAACACGTGATCATGCTCTTCATCCCCGTGACGCTCTGCATGGTCGTGGTGGTCGCAACCATCAAGTCTGTGAGCTTCTACACCGAGAAGACCGACCAGCAGCTGTAAGACCGCGTCTGGAACCGGTTTAGACCTGGTTTAGACCTGGTTTAGACCCGCTTTAGTCCTGGTTTAACCCTCTTCTTCCTCTGTGTTTTCCAGGATCTACACTCCGTTCAGTGAGAACACGTCGTCCGTGGGCCGCAGACTCCTGAACTCGGTCCTGAACACCATCATCATGATCAGCGTCATCGTCGTCATGACCATCTTCCTGGTGGTGCTTTATAAGTACAGGTGCTACAAGGTACGGGACACGCCCACTGTTAAAGCCGCACTACGCAACTTTTCTCTAATATTAATCCATTTCCACATCGCTGTTGCACTTTAACCCTCAAACCCTACAGAATTTTAGCCAGTGTTTTTCATTTAAAGCATTTTATGATCCTGTTGAACTGTTTTAATCTGTTCTATAAAGTGAACTTGTTGTTGTTATTATCAAGGGTTTGTGAGAGACAAGAATTAGTTAAGAGTCATAAGTAACAGATTCAATATGTACTTCCTGCTCTTGAAAAAACAAACTAACTCCTTTATTTGTTTCTGTGTCCTCAGTTCATCCACGGCTGGCTCATCCTGTCGTCTTTGATGCTGCTCTTCTGGTTTAGCTTCATGTACCTGGGGTGAGTTCTGATCTTCTAAAGTTCTTACAGACGTGACGTACAGAGGTTTTAGTAAAACCTTAAATATAATGATGTTAGCCGTGTTTTAATGAAATTTAACATGTCATAATCAGTGGTACTAACGGCGTTACTTTTTTGAGTATCGGGGAATCTAATTAACTACTTTTTCTATCATCATTATAACGCTGTTACTGTTAACAACACGCTGTTACTGTTAACAACACGCTGTTACTGCACTTTACTGAAGCTGTGATCTGACTTGGCTCACACAGACACAGGAGCTGCAGGTGTGTGTGTTTTTCCCTTCGGTAATGATGATTGGCTAAGGTTGAGTAAGAGTTCATGTTAAGCCAACCACAGACACATCAGGTGGGCGGGTGTTTACACACAAACCCAGCACACAGCAACACACACACAAACTATCAGATGGAGAGTCCAGGGTCACAGGGAAAGACGGCGTTTTCAAGGTGGAAATACAGGCACTACTTTAACCTCACTGAGGTTAAAGACAAAAATGTACATGTTCAATATACATTACAGTACGTCACAGAGCAGTTTGTTCATGTCCGGTGTAAGCGACTCCAATTTAATGAAGCGTCTCTCGGTGGCAGACGCTTCTGTCTCGAAGAAACAGAGGGAGGATCCAAAACGCAGGACTGCTTCAAAGTATTTAATGACAAAACCAAAAAAAATCCAAAACTCAAGAGTAAATTGCCATGACAAGAGACATGGAGAAAACTCGGACAGAGACAATGGACCAACAAAGGGCAGATGAGAACACAGGGTATAAATGCACACACATGAATGAGACACAGGTGAGACACATTAGGGCGGGGCAAACAATCAACAACAACAAACAATCAGGAAGTAAAACTCAAAACAAAACAAATGTCAAAATAAAACACAAATTACAACCACTACAAAACATGAACCATGACAGCTTCTACTAAACTAGTGTCCAAAAACACTGTTGACACCAGTAAAGATGATGACAGGACAGGTGCTCTTAACGTGAGCTGTGTGACATTTAAAAATATATACATATATCTCAATATTTACTTTCCCTAGTAACTAGTTACTGTTATAATGGAGTAACTCAGTTACTAACTCAGCTACATTTTGGGAGAAGTATTTTTTCAAAGTAACGGGCCCAACACTGGTCATAATTACTCATTTTAAAACCTAAAGTGAATCTAAACTGTGTGTGTTTTTTGTTTCTGCACAGTGAGGTGTTTAAGACGTACAACATGGCCGTAGACTATCCCACCGTGGCCCTGGTCATCTGGAACTTTGGGGCCGTGGGGATGGTGTGTATCCACTGGAAGGGCCCCCTGGCTCTGCAGCAGGCCTACCTCATCCTGGTCAGCGCGCTCATGGCTCTGGTCTTCATCAAGTACCTCCCCGAGTGGTCCGCCTGGGTCATCCTGGGAGCCATCTCCATCTACGGTACTCTTAGACCTGGTTTAGACCTGGTTTAGACCTGGTTTAGACCTAGTTTATTACTGGTTTAGTCCTGTTTCAGTCTCATATTTTAAAGTATTGCACTCATTACTACTGTTGTTGTTGTTGTTGTTGTTGTTGTTGTTGTTGCGTCTCCAGACCTGGTGGCGGTGCTGTCTCCCAAAGGACCTCTGAGGATGTTGGTGGAGACGGCGCAGGAGAGAAACGAGCCGATCTTCCCCGCACTCATTTACTCTTGTGAGTATTGTAGACTACTACTACTACTACTACTACTACTACTACTACTACTACTACTACTACTACTACTACTACTACTACTACTACTACATGGAGTGTGACGTCGCTGGCGGAGAGTCTGAGTGTTCAGGTCTTTCTCTGTTTGCCGGAAACTAAACCAGGTCTAAACCGGGACTAAAACCAGGTCTAAACTAGATCTAAACCAGGACTAAACCAGGACTAAACCAGGTCTAAACTAGATCTAAACCAGGACTAAACCAAGACTAAAACCAGGTCTAAACTAGATCTAAACCAGGACTAAACCAGGTCTAAACTAGATCTAAACCAGGACTAAAGCAGGACTAAATTAGATCTAAACCAGGACTAAAACAGGTCTTAACTTGATCTAAACCAGGTTTAAAACCAGGTCTAAACCAGGACTAAACCAGGACTAAATCCTGCTGTGTGGACATGTCTCCTCTTCTTCTATCAATAATATTTTTAATTTGGTTCAGTAAAGTCTGGGCTTTTTTATTTTCTTTTATCAGAGAAAACTTCTTACGTTACGATTTCCTCGTCTTTGCTTCTCTACAGCAAATAAAGTAATCCAGAGTAATCAGATTACATTACTCACTTTAAGTAATTTAATGGATTACATTACAAACTACTTTTTGGTGTATGTAATCTGTAGGGGAATACATTTTAAAAGTCACCTTCCCAACCCTGATCCTTGTGTGAGCTCCCCCTGCTGGTGAGTCGACTCTGTTGTGTTTCTAAACGTGTGTGTGTGTGTGTGTGTTTGTCCAGCGGCGATGGTTTGGACCGTGGGGATGGCGGGTCCGGCCGTCACTCACCGACCGGAGACAGGTCAGTGTTTATCCTCCGCAGTCAGCCCCCAAAAGAAAAAAACAAAACAAAAAAACCAAAACAAACTGATATTTAAAGGTGAGCGTTGTGTTCGCAGAGGAGGGGGCGGAGCATGGAGGCAGGGAGGCGGAGTCTGAGCGGGCGCCGTCTCGAGCCGTCGCGGGGGAGGAGGAGGAGCCGGAGGAGGACCGTGAGTCTCGGGACGGACGGAGCGGGTGAACGGGTGAACGGGTGATGAGTAAAACGGGCCTTGTGTTTTCAGGAGGAGTGAAGTTGGGTCTGGGGGATTTTATTTTCTACTCGGTGCTGGTGGGGAAAGCGGCGGCAACGGGAGGAGACTGGAACACCACGCTGGCCTGTTTCGTCGCCATCCTCATCGTGAGACGCTCTCCCTTATTTTTCTTTCCTCTTCTCTCCTCTTTCCTCCTTTTCTCTCCTCTTTCTCTCTCTCTTCTCTCCTCTCCTCCTCTCTCCTCCTCTCTCCTCCTCTCTCCTCTCTCTCCTCTCTCCTCTTCTCTCCTCTCTCTCTCTCCTCTCCTCTCTCTCTCCTCTCTCTCTCTCTCTCTCTCTCTCTCTCTCTCTCTCCTCTCTCTCTCTCTCTCCTCTCTCCTCTCTCTCTCCTCCTCTTCTCCTCTCTCTCTCTCTCTCTCTCTCTCTCTCTCTCTCCTCTCTCCTCTCTCTCTCTCTCTCTCTCTCTCTCTCCTCTCTCTCTCTCTCTCTCTCTCTCTCCTCTCTCTCTCTCTCTCCTCTCCTCTCTCTCTCTCTCTCTCTCCTCTCCTCCTCTCTCTCTTCTCTCTCTCTCTCTCTCTCTCTCTCCTCTCTCTCTCTCTCTCTCTCTCTCTCTCTCCTCTCTCCTCCCTTTCTCTCTTACCCTCTCCTCTTTTATTCTCTCCCTTCTCCTTTCTCCTCCCTCCTTCTTTCTCTTCCTCTCTCTTTCTCTGTCTCACTCCCTCACTATCTCTTCTCATCTCTCCTTCTGTCTTTCTCGCCTCTCAACTCTCTTTCTCTCATCCCACTCTCTTTCTCTCTCATCCTTCTGTTTCTCTCATCCCTCTCTCTCTCCTCTCATTCCTCTCATCCCGCTCTTTCTCTCATCCCTCTCTCTTTCTCTCATCCACTCATCCCTCTCTCTTTCTCTCATCCACTCATCCCTCTCTCTCAGGGCCTGTGTCTAACGCTGCTTCTCTTATTGATCTTTAAAAAGACGCTCCCTCCTTTCTCTCTCTCTCCTCTCATCCCTCTCCATCCCTCCCTTCACTCATCCCTCTCTCTTTCTCTCCTCCCTCCACTCATCCCTCTCTCTTTCTCTCCTCCGTCTCTCTCAGGGCCTGTATCTGACGCTCCTGCTCTTGGCGATCTTTAAAAAAGCGCTCCCTCCTTTCTCTCCCTCCTCACTCTTTTCCTCTCATCCACTCATCCCTCTCTCTTCTCTCGTCCCTCTCTCTCTCATCCCTCTCTCTTCCTCTCCTCCGTCTCTCTCAGGGCCTGTGTCTGACGCTCCTTCTCTTGGCGATCTTTAAAAAGACGCTCCCTCCTCTCTCTCTTTCGCTCTCTCTCCTCTCTCTCTTTCTCTCTCTTTCTCTCATCCCTCTCCATCATTCATCCCTCCCTCCTCTCATCCCTCTCTCTTTCTCTCCTCCCTCCTCTCATCCCTCCCTCCACTCATCCGTCTCTCTTCCTCTCCTCCGTCTCTCTCAGGGCCTGTGTCTGATGCTCCTTCTCTTGGCGATCTTTAAAAAGGCGCTCCCTCCTCTCCCTCCTTTTTCTCCCTCCTCTCTCTCTTTCTTTCTCTTTCTCTCATCCCTCTCCTTCATTCATCCCTCCCTCCACTCATCCCTCTCTCTTCCTCTCCTCCGTCTCTCTCAGGGCCTGTGTCTGACGCTCCTTCTCTTGGCGATCTTTAAAAAGGCGCTCCCCGCTCTGCCCATCTCCATCACCTTCGGACTCGTCTTCTACTTCTCCACCGACTTCCTGGTCCAGCCCTTCATGGACAATCTGGCCAATCACCAGTTCTACATCTGACACAAGCCCCGCCCCCTCGCTCACGCACCTGGGAACAAGCCCCGCCCCCTCACACACGCACACACCTGGGTACAAGCTCCGCCCACACACTACTGACTCACCTCCGGTCCGACGCTCGACTCGTTTTGGTCTCGGAAGTAAATTTCTTAAAGCTCCGATGTTCTGCTCCACTTCAAGGCCAAGTTTAGTCCAGGTTTAGTCCAGGTTTAGTCCAGGTTTAGTCCAGGTTTAGTCCTGGTTTAGTCCAGGTTTAGTCCTGGTTTAGTCCAGGTTTAGTCCTGGTTTAGTCCTGGTTTAGTCTTGGTTTATTTCTGGTTTAATTGTGGTCTAGTCTTGGTTTAGTCTTGGTTTAGTCCTGGTTTAGTTCTGATTTAGTCCTGGTTTAGTCTTGGTTTAGTCTTGGTTTAGTCCTGGTTTAGTCCTGGTTTAGTTCTGGTTTAGTCCTGGTTTAGTCCTGGTTTAGTTCAGGTTTAGTAATGGTTTAATCTTGGTTTATTTCTGGTTTAATTGTGGTCTAGTTCTGGTTTAGTCATGGTCTAGTCATTACCTTAGTCCCTACTTTAGTCCCGGTTTAGTCCTGGTTTAGTTCCTACTTTGGTCCCTGTTTTAGTTCCTGCTGTAGTCCTGGTTTAGACCTGGTTTAGTCCTGGTTTAGTCCTGGTCTAGTCCTGGTTTAGTCCTGGTTTAGACCTGGTTTAAGTTCTGGTTTTAGTCCTGGTTTAGTCCTGGTTTTAGTCCTGGTTTTAATCTTGGTTTAGTCCTGGTCTAGTCCTGGTCTAGTCCTGGTTTAGACCTGGTTTAGTCCTGGTCTAGTCCTGGTTTAGTCCTGGTCTAGTCCTGGTTTAGTCCTGGTTTAGTCCTGGTCTAGTCCTGGTTTAGTCCTGGTTTAGTCCTGGTTTAGTCCTGGTTTAGACCTGGTTTAGTCCTGGTTTAGTCCTGGTTTAGACCTGGTTTAGTCCTGGTTTAGTCCTGGTTTAGTCCTGGTTTAGTCCTGGTTAGTCCTGGTCTAGTCCTGGTTTAGTCCTGGGTTAGTCCTGGTTTAGTCCTGATTTAGTCCTGGTCTAGTCCTGGTTTAGTCCTGGTTTAGTCCTGGTATAGTCCTGGTTTAGTCCTGGTTTAGTCCTGATTTAGTCCTGATTTAGTCCTGGTCTAGTCCTGGTTTAGTCCTGGTCTGGTTTAGTCCTGGTTTAGTCCTGGTTTAGTCCTGGTTTAGTCCTGGTTTAGTCCTGGTTTAGTCCTGGTCTAGTCCTGGTTTAGTCCCCTGGTCTAGTCCTGGTTTAGTCCTGGTCTAGTCCTGGTTTAGTCCTGGTTTAGTCCTGGTCTAGTCCTGGTTTAGTCCTGGTCTAGTCCTGGTTTAGTCCTGGTCTAGTCCTGGTCTAGTCCTGGTTTAGTCCTGGTTTAGTCCTGGTCTAGTCCTGGTTTAGTCCTGGTTTAGTCCTGGTCTAGTCCTGGTTTAGTCCTGGTTTAGTCCTGGTTTAGTCCTGGTTTAGTCCTGGTTTTAGTCCTGGTCTAGTCCTGGTTAGTCCTGGTCTAGTCCTGGTCTAGTCCTGGTTTAGTCCTGGTCTAGTCCTGGTTTAGTCCTGGTTTAGTCCTGGTTTAGTCCTGGTTTAGTCCTGGTTTAGTCCTGGTTTAGTCCTGGTCTAGTCCTGGTCTAGTCCTGGTCTAGTCCTGGTCTAGTCCTGGTTTCCTAGTCCTGGTTTAGTCCTGGTTTAGTCCTGGTTTAGTCCTGGTTTACTCTGTCTGTGTTGAGCAGAATCTTGGAGTTTTATTTTTATTTATTTCTGGAGTTTTTCTCGTGTTGAAAACCAAATCCTCTGAGTCGGTTTTCGTGCTCTAATTTATTTCTGGTCAGTTCACATTTTTCCGCTCGTCTGATTTTGCTGCTGAGGAAAAAAACAAAAACAAAAGGAAGGTCTAAAATAATTTATAAAATACTGTATTAAAGTTTGTTTCATGTTATTCTGTGTCCGGGTTTGGGAGAAAAGGATCATCACATTTAACTGACAAATTATTTTCAGATTTATTTTCTTTTTAAAATCAGACCTAGAATCATCGGGATCATTTCAGTTCTGGAATCTCCACTGAACTAAAAGAAAAAGAATCTGTGTGTCGTTTTTCAAAATAAAACCAAAAATAAGAAAATGAAAAAAAAAACTATTTTCTTCATTATTTGTCTCCAAAACCAAAATGAAAAAAAAAAAACAGATAATAATTCGGTTTTTTTTTTTCAGTTTTTGATTTTGTGTTTAAATGAAAAATGGAGAGAAAAAAAAAAAAAAAAACGGATAATGGACGTTTACGTGACTTAAACTGTGACACCGGACTGAACCAGGACTGAACCAGGACTGAACCAGGACTGGACCAGGACTGGACCAGGACTGGACTGAACAGGACTGGACTGAACAGGACTGGACCAGGACTGAACCAGGACTAAACCAGGACTAAACCAGGACTGAACCAGGACTGGACCAGGACTGGACCAGGACTGAACCAGGACTGGACCAGGACTGAACTGAACCAGGACTGGAAGGACCAGGACTAAACCAGGACTGGACCAGGACCAGGACTGGACCAGGACTGGACTGGTCCAGGACTCAGGACTCCTGACCTGATCCAGGACTGGTCCAGGACTACCAGGACTTTTTGGTCTCAGTCTCGGTCTGTTACCGGTCTCCATCACGGTGTGGTCCTGGTCTCAGTCCTGGTCTCAGTCCTGGTCTGGTCCTGTTCTCAGTTCTGGTCTGGTCCCGGTCTGGGTCCCGGTTTCAATCCTGGTCCTGGTCTCAGGCCCGAATCTGATCCCAGTCTACGTTTTGGTCTCATTCTCAGTCTGGTTCCGGTCTCAGTCCCGGTCTCCATTGCAGTCTGGTCGTGGTCTCAGTTCTGATCTCAGTCCTGGTCTCAGTCCCGGTCTCAGTCCTGGTCTCAATCCTGATCTGATCCCGGTCTACGTTTTGGTCTCAGTCTGGTTCCGGTCTGGTCTCGGTGTCAGTCCCGGTCTCACTCATGGTCTCAGTTCTGGTCTGGTCCCAGTCTGAGTCCCAGTTTCAGTCCTGGTCCTGGTCCCAGTCTAAGTCCTGGTCTCAGTCCTGGTCTAGTTCCAGTCTTGTCCCTAACCTGGTCCTGGTTTAGTCTTGGTTTATTCCTGGTTTAGTCCTGGTCTAGTCCTGGTTTAGTCCTGGTTTAGTCCTGGTTTAGTCCTGGTTTAGTCCTGGTCTAGTCCTGGTTTAGTCCTGGTTTAGTCCTGGTTTAGTCCTGGTTTAGTCCTGGTTTAGTCTTGGTTTAGTCTGGTTTAGTCCTGGTTTAGTCCTGGTTTAGTCCTGGTTTAGTCCTGGTTTAGTCCTGGTTTAGTCCTGGTTTAGTCCTGGCGTCACAGTTTAAGTCGTGTAAACTGGAAACTGAAAAAACAAATAATTATCTGGTTTTTTTTTTCATTTTGATTTTGGAGACAAATAACGAAGAAAATAGATGTTTTTTCATTTTCTTATTTTTGGTTTTATTTTGAAAAACGAATGAACGGACGACACACGGATTTCGATACGTAGACCACGATACGATACGATACCTCGATACAGCGCAGTTTCAGTTCGGTACAATATTTTTCAAATCGGTTCGATAAAAAAATAAAAGTTAAATCGTGGCTGTGAGGTTTGTCTTTTCCGTTTGATTTGACTTTAAATTAAAATCAGATGTTACACTACTCGATATTTCTCTACACCTCTGTCTTTTTATTTAATCTCTGTAATTATTTGGATTTTTTTTTTTTTCCACGTCTGACTTTGTTCGTTTAACTAAAGCTGAAGAGAACAATCCAAACCGACATGATATTATAAATAGTTTCACACATTAACGGCCGCTGACGGAGGCGAGATTTTGTAGAAAGTTGATTTTTGTACTTGACTTATTTGTAGTTGTCAGTGATTTGTGCAATAAAAGAGTTTGATCTGTTTTTTCAGAATAAACGCAAACGAGAAAAACGTGTGGAAATGTGTTCAAATCTGTAAAAAAAAAAAAAAAAAAAAGTTTGTAAATGATAAAATAATAAGAACTCATTGGGTTTAGTGGCTTTGAAGACGCTGTTATTGACATTTACAGAGCGGCGTTCATTACACTCCACTAATGTAGCCACAGCTGCCCTGAGACAGACTGAAGAAGGAACAATCTATTACAGGGGTGTCAAACTCATTTTGGTCCGGGGGCCGTATCCAACCAACTTTGATCCCAAAGTGTCCGGATCAGAAAACTCATGTCATATAAACCCCAAAAAATTCAAATATTTGTGTAGAGAAACACAAATCTATTACAGAAATCTTTTTTAATGATGAACTCTTTCTTTTAACAACCTGAAACTTTAAGAAAAATACAATTTCAACACAATGTTTTAACATGAACTTGTTTAACATTAAGTGTATAACAAAATTTGGCTCACTTTTCTCATGTTGGACATTTTTCTGATGAGGGTGTCACGGTCATCAAACGATCGTCCTTTAAGAGCGTTTGGAAAGAGACAAGTCTTCAAAACAGAGACGCTGGAGACGCTGCTAGCAGAAAAGAAAATCAGGAGGAGAAAAGGTCTTGGAGGGCCGGATCTGGCATGTTTGACAATTATCTCAGTTTCAAAAGCTTTTCCACCAGCAAAATTTCAAAACTTTTCCATGACTAAAGTGAATTTTCCATGACTTTACAGCATCTGCATGTGTAGAACTGATCAGACTTTTAGGGCTAAATCTGAAATTTTAACTCTTTCCACTCACCTTATGGTTTGGTTTTATAGTTTTTTTAACATTCAAAATCCTGTCAGTGCATTTATTGTCGTCTCTTTTAAACAAAAGGCGCAAACCATCCGTCAGTTTTCTTTCGCGTACCCGGGGCTGAGTCACAGGGGCATCAGTCTAAGCCAGGGGGTCAAACTCATTTGGTCGGGGGCCATATCCAATCCTTGATCCCAAAGGGACCGGATCAGAAAACCATGTCATTAAACCCCCAAAATAACAATAAGTTCTTTTGTGCAGAGAAAACACAAATCAGTTTTTTAATTGTGAACTTTTTCTTATTATAATTTATAATATTATGAACAACTGAAACTTTTAAAGAAAAATTTAAAATATTTTAGTAGAAAATCACCCAAGGCCACATTAAAGGTCTTGGAGGCCGGATCTGGCCCCCGGCCTTATGTTTGACACTGTGGTCTAAGCAGAGACTCCCAGACTTCCTTCACATCGAACACTTCCTCCAGCTCCCCGGGGGGATCCTGATCCCAGTCCAGCCCAGAGACATAGTCCCTCCAGCGTGTCCTGGGTCTTCTTCGGTGCCTCCTCCCGGTGGGACATGAACAACTCTCGAGGAAAAGGCCCAGGAGGCATCTGGAACAGAGGCTCGAGCCACCTCAACTGTTCCTCTCGACGTGGAGGAGCAGCGGCTCTACTCCGAGCTCCTCCCGTGTGACTGAGCTCCTCACCCTGTCTCTAAGGGAGACGCCCAGACACCCTGCGGAGGAAACTCATTTCAAGCGCTTGTATCTGTGATCTCATTCTTTCCGTCACTACCCAGAGCTCATGACCAGAGGTGAGATTAGGAACGAAGACTGACCAGTAAATCAAGAGTTTCACCTTTCGGCTCAGCTCCTCTTCACCACAACGGTCCGATACAGCGACCGCATCACTGCAGACTCTGCACCGACCCGTCAATCTCACGCTCCATCCTCCCCTCACTCGAGAACAAGACCCCGAGATACTTGAACTCCTCCACTTGAGGCAGAGACTCTCCACCCACCCGGAGACGACAAGACGCCTTTATCCGCTCGAGAACCATGACCTCGGATTTAGAAGAGCTGATCTTCATCCCAGCAGCTTCACACTCGGCTACAAACCGTCCCAGTGCTGCAGGTCCTGGACTGATGGAGCGAACAGGACAACATCACTTACCAGAACGCTGTAGTTGCGTGAAAGAGATACTAAAATTCCACGACTTTTCCAGGACTTCCGTGACATCCTGAAAACCTAAAATCCACCGTTGCAGAGCACTGTGAAAGAAATAACCACATTCTGGATTGGGACGGGGCTCGAGTCATTGGATCAAGTATGGAGTAAGAAAACTTTCAGAAATATTCCCGTGCGCAGGATAGAGATCTGTGCATATTTGTAGTTGAGCATAAAATAAATCTTCGTAAACTCTCGAATGAGTCCAGTCAAACATCAGAATACGAATTGAAAAGTTACAACATCAACAATTACAATCACAAAATGAAAATTTACGATTTACGAAAATTTCTTCCGTAAGAATACGAATTCACAGACGAGACTCGACTCAAAAATACAACATCACTTCACAGGCAGAAGAAACATCGATCAAGATGCCAGAGTTTTACACGGACTGAACCAGGACTAAAACAGGACTGAACCGGGACTAAAACAGGACTAAACCAGGACTGAACCAGGACTAAAACAGGACTAAACCAGGACTGAACCGGGACTAAAACAGGACTAAAACCAGGACTGAACCGGGACTAAAACAGGACTAAACCAGGACTGAACCAGGACTAAAACAGGACTAAACCAGGACTGAACCAGGACTGAACCAAGACTAAACAGGACAGCAGACACCCTGCTCCCTGGGCTCCGTTCTCCCTCTCTCTCTCAAGTCAAAGATTAGTCCTAGTTTAGACCTGGTTTAGTCCTGGTTTAGTCCTGGTTCAGTCCTGGTTTAGTCCTGGTTCAGTCCTGGTTTAGTCCTGGTTTAGACCTGGTTTAGACTGGTTTAGTCCTGGTTTAGTCCTGGTTTAGTCCTGGTTCAGTCCTTGGTTTAGTCCTGGTTTAGTCCTGGTTTATTCCTGGTTTAGTCCTGGTTTAGACCTGGTTTAGACCTGGTTTAGTCCTGGTTTAGACCTGGTTTAGACCTGGTTTAGTCCTGGTTTAGTCCTGGTTTAGACCTGGTTTAGTCCTGGTTTAGTCCTGGTTTAGTCCTGGTTTAGTCCTGGTTTAGTCCTGGTTTAGACCTGGTTTAGACCTGGTTTAGTCCTGGTTTAGGGTTTAGACCTGGTTTAGTCCTGGTTTAGACCTGGTTTAGACCTGGTTTAGTCCTGGTTTAGTCCTGGTTTAGACCTGGTTTAGACCTGGTTTAGACCTGGTTTAGTCCTGGTTTAGACCTGGTTTAGACCTGGTTTAGACCTGGTTTAGACCTGGTTTAGTCCTGGTTTTAGACCTGGTTTAGACCTGGTTTAGTCCTGGTTTAGACCTGGTTTAGACCTGGTTTAGTCCTGGTTAGTCCTGGTTTAGACCTGGTTTAGACCTGGTTTAGTCCTGGTTTAGACCTGGTTTTAGACCTGGTTTAGTCCTGGTTTAGACCTGGTTTAGTCCTGGTTTAGACCTGGTTTAGTCCTGGTTTAGACCTGGTTTAGTCCTGGTTCAGTCCTGGTTCAGTCCTGGTTTAGACCTGGTTTAGACCTGGTTTAGTCCTGGTTTAGACCTGGTTTAGACCTGTTTTAGACCTGGTTTAGACCTGGTTTAGACCTGGTTTAGTCCTGGTTTAGACCTGGTTTAGACCTGGTTTAGACCTGGTTTAGACCTGGTTTAGACCTGGTTTAGACCTGGTTTAGACCTGGTTTAGACAAGGTAACAAGGTAAATACACTTAACTGCATTGTTTTCAAAAAGAACCCAAGAAGTTAAAGACTGATGAACTAGTTGGTTCTTTGTGTCATGTTTTTGTATATTTATGGAAGAATTGTTGTGTGGGTGACGTAGGTTTGTGGGCGAAGAATTGGACAGAATCTTAGAGCTAAACGTAAGGAGGGTTTGAAAATAGCCCAGGAGAGATCACAAAGTGTTGAAGCGCTGAAGGAACAAAGTTATAACATGGCAGGAAAATGTAAATAAAAACTCCAAACACGCAGGAGGTGTGGACATTGGGAAACTATTTTATTTTACAGACGGTAAAAAAAATTAAAGACAAAAGGACTACAGCGGGAGATTTCCAGGCGGATGTTCAGTTTCGGTCTTCAAACTGAGATTTATTCTTCAGCAAAAACGTGGCCAAGTATTCGATGGGGTTTGGAGGTCTGCAGCCAGAAGAAAAAAAACCAAAAAGTGTAAGGACTCATTCTGTAAAAAGTCACATTAAAACTCACACACTTCAAAAACTTTAAGTAGTAATTAAGGAATTCTGAACTGTGGTGAGACTAAAACAAAATGGGTTTATAAACTCAAAAAGTCAATGGAAAATGCAGCAGTTTCACAGATACTGAAATATGAATAAAAACTAAACAGGGTATTTCTCCAACAACAAGAAAACATCTGCAGATTACCGTATTTTTCGGACTATAAGTCGCTCCAGAGTTTAAGTCGCACCAGCCAAAAAATGTGTAATGAAGAAGAAAAAAACATAAATAAGTCACATTTTTAGGGGGAAATTTGTTTTATAAAGTCAGAGACCAGGAACCGACATTTTATCTTGAAAGGCAAGTTCTAGTAAAAACAATAGAAGAGAGATGTTACATATTCCGTAGGGGAGGGCGATATATCGATATTTTAAATATATCGAGATAGTTTTTAAACTCGATATGAATTCTGACATATCGTATATATCGATATAATGCGTATATTCAATTTTGATTTGGCCGTTTCGCTTGTTTGTCTTCTCTCTCGTCGCCTCCGCCTCCCTGACTTTGTTCGCTCGTGTCTCCTTCACTCGTCACTGTCGCCGCGAACACTGAAAGTTGGAGCCAGTGAAAAGCTTCAAGCACCACGAACCTTTTCCACCATTTACAGACAAAACCACCAGCAGCACATCCTCATGTTCCACCGAGTCGCGTCCTTTAGCCCGAAAGAAGCTGAACGAGCTGAGCTGCATGAGAAGTGCTGTTTATGCAAATGAGCCATGCGCTTAAGTTTAGTTTCTGTAAAATGTAAACACACGTGCGCAAAACTGCATTAAACACATTATTATCTCAAACAGGCTGATGTGGCTCATAGACGTTGTGCTTTATTTATTGTAAAGTTTAGTCATGTAAAGTTTATTTATGCAGAAGATTTTAATGAATAATCTGCTGCAGTGTCACTTGTACAATAGTGTTTGGAAACGTTGGGTTTGATCTGCAGTGGATTGTGGGATTAAACCTCAGAGCTCCTCACTGCTGGAACATGGATCTGTTCAAATAAGGAACATCCTGAGCTTCTTCTGCTAAAGGAGCTCATGGTTCTGGTTCTTGTCTGGAGAACAGAGTTAATACAAAGATGAGCTTGTGTTGAGCTGTTTTATTTATGAATGAAAAGAAGGAAATATGTTTTATTTCTTTTATTTTACAGTTAAATTATTATTTATGTAATTAGTGTTTTTGTAATCTTAAATGTTCCTATATGAACTGTCGACCTCTTACACTTCAGTTAAAAAAATAAAGACCTGGTGGAATTTGGCAGATTTGTTTTTGCAGTTTTCAGTTTTAGGGGGTTATTTTTTCTTGAACATATATCGAGATAAATATCGTATATTGAGATATAGCAAAATATATCAAGATATATTTTTTGATCCATATCACCCAGCCCTAATATTCAGTATATACAAAATATTTTTAGTTTTCTCCAGTCTATCACAAGTTTCTAGCTCACTCCAAATTTTCTTTCTGCTGCTCGATTACTGTTTTCACAGTACACCGGCGTTCTCCACTTCATTTCTCCACTCTGGAACCCGTTCTCAAAAAACTCTGTTTTCGCCACCACCCAAAACGCCGGCTCCGTGTGGACAAAAGGCCAAAACAAATACAAACTTCACTGTTTTGACCAAAAAACTTTGTCATGTGGACGGTCCCTAAGTTGCAGGAAACACCCAAACCATGAAAAAAAGTGCGACTTATAGTCCAAAAAATACGGTAACTCGACATTTGACCTGCCCTCGTCTGAGTCTAACACTACAGGGACACAAACACAGGAGTCTGGGAGGGCATCTGGCTCACCTCTCCTTGGCCAGCACGGACAGGCCCTGGAGCAGGATGGGCACGACGGTCTGGTCCAGGTAGGCTCGAGTGGGCAGCGCCTGGAGGTCCACCTTCTGTTTCTTCTCCCCAGACTTTTCCCCGTCCAGCGCCCTCTGCAGGCTGTCTGTGAGCCCGAAGTCTGCGTGAGGGTTCTCCGAGACCTGGGACAAGAGCAGGACTGAGCCAGGACTGAGCCAGGACTGGAACAGGACTAAAAGAGGACTAAACCAAGACTGAACCTGCACTGAACCTGCCAGGACTGAACCAGGACTGAACCAGGACTGAACCAGGACTGAACCAGGACAAAAACAAGTCTAAACCAGGCTAGAACATAACTGAACCAAGACTAAACCTGGTCTAAACCTGGTCTGGAACATGACAGAACCAGGACGAAACCAGAACTAAACCCAAACTAAAACAAGGTTTGAATCAGGTCTGGAAGAGGCTTAAAACTAGTCTGAACCAGAACTAACCCAGGACTAAATCAATCAGGACTAAATCTAGACTAAACTGAACCAGAACTAAAGTAGGTCTCAACCAGAACTGAACAAGGTCTAAATTAAGGCTAAACCTGGACTAAACCAGAAATATTTGAAGAAGTCTCTGTCTTAAACTGTGTTCTGTGTTCGTGTTCTTTCTAATAATAATGTCACAGATGATTTGCAGATGAAATGATAAATGGCATTACTCACTGGAGTGTGCGTCTCCATGGGCTGATCCGCGTCTGTGTGATCTGAAAAACATTTAAAGTGCAAATCACAGGTTAAACCAGACGCGTCAAACTCAGGCCCAGGGGCCAAATTTGGCCCGCGATATAATTATATTTGGCCCACGAGATCATATCAAATCTGTATTAGAGCTGTCCGCCGGCTACAGATCGACTATAGAGACATTATTTATTTAAAATGTTATTATTTTATATTCTGCTTTTTATGGATTCAGTGTTTAAGCAAAACTATTATTAAACATTTATTTTAATAAAAAAAAAAAGGTTTAACATTACATATCTCAAAAAAAAGAGAAAAAAACATGCAAATGTTGTTGCAATAAATATTTAGTTTGGCCCAGTTTTTTATTTTGGCCCTCTGTGAATTTGAGTTTGCTACCCCAGGGTTAAACTATGAAATAATAATAACAACAGTTATGGTCTGAAAAATAAAAATAAAAGCACTTGTTTAAACCACAGACTGTACGACACACTGTTACATACAGGAAGTAGGAGAGTTCTAGAGCAGAATCCCTCGGCCTTTGTCATCAACACAGACAATTCCTCCCAAAATAGAGACAATTTACGCTCAAGGAAGGCATTTTTATGACAGTTTAAACCTTCATACTTTTATTTATCAAAATAAAGGCATTATCATTTATTTTTATTGGCCTAATCATAACTATTGTGTAATTTAGACCGGTTCTTGGCCCTTGTTTACATTACAGTTGCTCAGTAACAGTTATGAAATTACCTCGGCATTTGGCAGATCTGCTGCTCGTGTTCGACCAGGAAGTAAAACTATAAACTTATCAACAAAATGACAAAACTAGAAAAGACCAGGCACGATTAGAGTGGAGCTGGGTATCATTAAGAAGTTGCCGATACGATACATATCTTGATACAGTGCGCTTTCGATTCGATATGATATATTTCAAATCGATTTGATACGGTTCAATAAAAAATAAAGGCTAAATCATGGCTGTGATACTAAAAGTGTTTGTTAAATCACTTCTTGTCCAAAGTTCATATGAAACACAAACATTTTAATCCTCAAAACTGTAAAAATGTCAAATGTGTCGCATAAATGAGTTTCCTTTGACTCCACAAGCAGCAAAACTGTAGCTGTAACAAAATAATTTAGTAAAACACACCTAAAAATGCTCTTGATGAAATATCGATACTAGGGATGGGCATGATTAGTCGATTAATCGATAATTGATCATTAAGAATTTCATCGATTACGTTAATTTTAATCGACAAACCGAATGTAGGTTGCTGTGACCAAACAGGTGTGTACATGTGTCTCTGCATCAGAAGGAGCGAGACACAAACATTCGGTCAGTCTGCAACGTACTGATGTGCAACGATGATTTGGACAAGAAATTCCACACTTTCCGTTGTGTTCGGGACAAGTGTGAGTCCATGTGCACAGTGTATAAAGCAGCACATATGTTTCTGTGTCCAGTGGGAAAAAGTTTTTCCAGGTGAGAGTCGCTCAATGTGGATGACGAGGCCCCGCCCCCCTCCCCCCGTACGCTGTCCTGGTTTTGACAAACACAAATCTGGTCACACTGACCTGTATTCACCTGAGTCATGTCTTTTAATCCAACAGAAATTGAACCACATCAGCGACACAAGAGCTGGAGTTTTATCTTCACTTAGTTTATGTAAATTAGTGATGTGGTTTTAAGTTTTGTTTCTGTGAGATTTGAACAAAACTGAATTAAACACATTATAATGTCAAACGGGCTGATGTGGCTCTAGAGTCGTTACGGTTTATATGTCGTAAAGTTGAATTTATTTATGCAGATTAGTAGTGCAGATAGTAATAATAATGATGATCATTTTAATATAAAGACGTTAATGATTAATCGATAATCAATCGTTAATTCTTCCGACGATCGATTAAGAAAATTTCATCGAATGCCCATCCCTAATCGATACAGCAGCCCACGATATCGATACTGTATCATCACATTAAACGATACGATATATCGATATTCCGATATTTTTGCACACCCCTAGATTAGAGTGACAAGATTTCCAAAATTAAAAACTGGGAAACACCCGGGTTGGAATGTTGGTATAAATAAAATTGTGAAAACAATTCTGGAGAAACAATTGTGTAACTGTGTGGATTCTCGTGTTAGTCATGATCAGAGGGATTTCTGTTGCTGCAGTTTTTTGTTTTATGGTCATTTGCAAACACGGTTTTGTGTATTTTGGCGAACCAAATGACAAATTATGCTCCTCTTTACTGTTGGTGAAGAACTGATTAGTCAGAAATTGTGAAAGTCCTGGTTTAGTCTTAGTTTAGTCCTGGTTTAGATCTGATGTAGTCCTGTTATAGTCTCAGTTTTGTCCTGGTGTAGTCCCAATTTAGTCCTCTTTTAGACCTGGTTTAGTCCTGATGTAGTCCTGGTTTAGTCGTTTAGTCCTAGTCCTGGTTTAGTCTTAGTTTTAGTCCTGTTTTAGTCCTGGTTTAGTCTTAGTTTAGTCCTAATCCTGGTTTAGTCTTAGTTTAGTCCTGTTTTGGTCCTGATGTAGTCCTGGTTTAGTCCTAATGTAGTCCTGGTTTAGTCCTAATGTAGTCCTGGTTTAGTCCTAATGTAGTCCTGGTTTAGTCCTAATGTAGTCCTGGTGTAGTCCTGGTGTAGTTCCGGTGTAGTCCTGGTGTAGTCCTAATGTAGTCCTAATGTAGTCCTGGTTTAGTCCTAATGTAGTCCTGGTTTAGTCCTGGTGTAGTCCTGGTGTAGTCCTGGTTTTTAGTCTTAGTTTAGTCCTGATGTAGTCCTGTTTTAGTCTTAGTTTAGTCCTGGTTTAGTCCTGATGTAGCCCTGTTTTAGTCTTAGTTTAGTCCTGGTTTAGTCTTAGTTTAGTCCAGTTTTAGTCCTGGTTTAGTCCTGTTTTAACACAGATTTCACATTCAGACTCATTTTGTTTTGGTTCTTTTCCAGTTTCTGTGTGAAAACGGCGCCACAGCTCGGTTCCCGCACTGCGCTCGTGTCTGGGGCTTTTTCTTTTTTTTGCTCCGATCTGAGATTTACAATATTCGCGCTACGTAAATGTGACGTTTCCGGCGTTAATAAACAAATCGTGGAGGAGAACGCGCGCACTCCGCTGCAGAAAAGCGAAAAAAAAAACCACCGTAAATTTGGAACAATGAACTCACCGTCCGCCATCTTTGTTGTGGGTGCTTACGTAATGACGTGAGAGAAGCCGGGCCTACGTCACGTCCTTCTCCAAAAAAAAAAAAAAAAAAAAAAAAAAAGATACGTCATTTCCTTTTTGAGCGAACCAAACAAAATAAAAAAAAATAAAAAAAATAGAACACAGAATTAATAAGGAGTAAATAAAAACTTGAGCAAGATAAATACACAGTTAATAAAGACAGTTAATAAAATAAAAATTAAAGGTGAAAAAAAAGACTCTAGTAATAATAATAATAATTATTATTATTATTATTATTATTATTATTATTATTTCAATTTAATAATAATAATAATAATAATAATAATAATAATTATTATATTATATTATATTATTATTATTATTATTATTATTATATTAATAATAATAATAATAATAATAATAATAATAATAATAATAGACCTTCACAATCACTCACACACTGCTTTCATACATTTTTTAGTACTGCTTTTATGTATTGATTTTATTATTTTTATTCATTGATTCTATTATTATTATTTTATGGTTATTTCATGGTTGGAACATAAAAAATAAATAATAATAAAAATAAATAAAATTAAGTAAAATGTTTAATATTGCTGTGTAAAGCGCTTTGGAAACTGTCATGTTTATAAAAATGTGCTATACAAGTTGGGAGTTGAATTCATACTAGGCAATGTGGGTGAAGTGTCTTGCCTAAGGACACAACAAACGTTTTTTGGCACCTGATTTTCCCAGCGGTCTTCATCCAAGTACTAACCAGAATCGGCCTCTGAGCTTCTGAGATCTAACGGGATCAGGCTTTAACCAGTTGGTTTAACCACAATAAAGCGTTTAGTTTTTTTTGTTTGTGTTTTTTTGGGAACAACCTGCATTTGTCCAATAAAGGGAAAATTCCAACGCCACCTGCTGGTCTTGAACTTGCAACACGAGTACAAGACCAGCAGGGGGCACTGTTCTATTTAATCAACAACAAATCAGAGCAGTAGTAATGTATTTATATGTAAAATGTAAAATATTGAGTATTATATGTTGAAGTAAGATGTTTAAAAAGTAGGTCAAGGGCAGTGCGGCTTTTTTGGATCGGCTCCGAGAGGATATCCGGTTCATATGGCTCCCAACGGCTCCCAAACGGCTCCCAACGGCTCTTTTTTCACTGTCATACTGAGCAAATTATTATAATTTGTGTCTCAAATGAAACTACTGCTCATCACATCAGGTTTGTGAAGTTGTAGTGTATTGTTTTGAATCTCGCTTTTGAATATTTACAGAGAATTTGTATATTTATGCAGAATTTGTATATTTATGGAGAATTCCTGATGAGGGAACGTTTTAACCTGGATAAAGGAACGTTTTAACCTGGATAAAGGAACGTTTTAACCTGGATAAAGGAACGTTTTAACCTGGATAAAGGAACGTTTTAACCTGGATAAAGGAACGTTTTAACCTGGATAAAGGAACGTTTTAACCTGGATAAAGGAACGTTTTAACCTGGATAAAGGATAAAGGAACGTTTTAACCTGGATAAAGGAACGTTTTAACCTGGATAAAGGAACGTTTTAACCTGGTAAAAAGCTCAAAAAGAGTAAATCTTGTAAAATCCTGTGTCTTTAAACAGAATGAACCGAGACTTTGATGAGATGAAGAGTTTTATTGTTTTTGTGACATGACCAGGACAAACTTCACTGTACAGCCACCGCAAAACATCCCACACCTGGACCAGACCTGGACTAACCCTGGACCATAAGACCAGGCCAAGACCTAGGACCTGGACCAGGACCAAGGACCAGACCTGGGACTAACCCTGGACCAGGAGACTGGACCAAGACCTGGGACCAGATCAGGACCAAGGACCAGACCTGGGACTAACCCTGGACCATGAAACCGGACCAAGACCTAGGACCAGACCTGGACTAACCATGGACCATGAGACCAGACCAAGACCTAGGACCAGATCAGGACCAAGGATCAGACCTGGGACTAACCCTGGACCAGGAGACCGGGCCAAGACCAAGGACCTGGACCAGGACCAAGGACCAGACCTGGGACTAAACCTGGACCAGATAACTGGACCAAGACCTCGGATCAGGGCCAGGATCAAAGACCAGACCTGGGACTAAACCTGGACCAGCTGACTGGACCAAGACCTAGGACCAGGAACAGGACCAGGACCAAGGCCCAGGACCAGGACCAGGACCAGTACCAAGGCCCAGACCAGTACCAGACAGGACCAAGGACCAGACCAAGAACCAGACCAGGACTCAGGACCCAGGACCCAGGACCGTGGCCCAGGACCAGACCAGTACTAGACCAGTACTAGACCAGGACCTAGAACCCAGGACCTAGGACCCAGGACCCAGGACCCAGGACCCAGGACCCAGGACCCAGGACCCAGGACCTAGGACTAAACCAACACCAGGCCAGGAAATAGGACCAGACCAGGAACTAATAAGACCAGACCTGGGACTAACACCAGACCTGGGACTTAGGCCAGGACCTGGAATCAGACCAGAACCAGACCAGGACCAGACCAGGGGACTCGTCAAAGCTTCATATTTACAGCAGTTTCAGGACTCACTGGAGTCGCTCGAAACGAAACTCCGTCTGACACAGGATCAGGCTCCAGCCGCTCCCAGACTCACAAACACCGTCCCACCGTCCGGTCCATCCCGAATCCCACCTTCTGGAATTTTTAATTTTTAAATTTTTTTGGAAACCTGCACTTGCCCCGCCCCCTCAGCATAATTTTTTTGCTTTCGTTTGCGGGATTCGGGCGTGACGTCGGGTTTAAACGGCGATCTGGGAGCCGCCGGTTTGGACCTCATTTCCTTTTCAGAATCTTTAAAAAATCGACACCAAACTTCAGACGTCCAGCTGCGATTCTCCGGCTGTAGATCAAAAATCAGGAGAAAAACCATAAACGAACAGAGACGCAGGAGAAGGTCAGCAGTGGTTAGAGGAACGTCGCGCTAGTGTTGCCACGACGACACGGAGGTTTAACGTGGAAATAAAAAATGCAAAATTAAACTGTATACGGTGTTTTAAAAGCGTTTTCTACTTTTCCTAGTTGTTTTTTGGCAACTTAAGTTCAAATTTTCTGGTCAAAAACGTCTAAATCAATTCTTAAAACCTATTTTTATCAATCAGCCATCGTTTAATTGTTTTTTATTCCTTATTTATTTTTATTTTTTATTATAAATACGTGAATTGTTTGCATCATTGTTCATCTGTCTGATTTTTTTTGTTTATTGCACTTTGTAAACATTTTTTTTCTTTTTAAGTGCTTTATAAATAAATATTTCTTAAAAGTGTCTGCTCTCTCCAGTGGATTCTGCAGTTTCAAGTACTATGTGACATCACGCATGACTGAATAATGGTTTTAAAGACGAGATATGAGGTATTAATACGCTAACACACATTGAGATGACTAAGGCCACGTTTACTTGATGTTTTTTAATTCCGATTTAATTATTCTGAATTTGATCATTTGGAATTAAAATATTCTCCTTCGTTTACGTGGAAATAATAATTCTGAATTAAGGTTTACATGGAAAACTCGTTAAATTGTCTTTATTTAATTCCGCTCAGTGTTTGTGGGTGGGGAAGGGTTCAGACTGGACCAGACCAGTACCAGACCAGGACCAAGGACTATACCAGGACCAGTACCGGGACCTAGGACTAAACCATGACCAAGGACCAAGGACCAAGGACCAAGGACTAAGGACTAAGGACCAAGGACCAGGACCTAGGACCTAACCAGGACCAAGGACTAAGGACCAAGGACTAAGGACCAGGGACCAGGACCTAGGACCTAACCAGGACCAAGGATCAGACCAGGACCAAGGACCAAGGACCCAGGACCAGGACCAAGGACCAGACCAGGACCCAGGACCAGACCAGTACCAGACCAGGACTAAGGACCAGGACCTACAACTAAGGACTAAGGACCAAGGACCAGTACCTAGGACCTGACCAAGGACCAAGGACCAAACCAGGACCAAGGACCAGTATCAGACCAGGACCAAGTGCTACACCAGGACCAGTACCTGGATCTAGGACTAAACCTTGACCAAGGACCAAGGACCAAGGACCAAGGACCAAGGACCAAGGACCAAGGACCAGGACCAAGGACCATGGACCAGCCAGGACCAAGGACCAAGGAATTAAGTGTTTAAATTGTCTTTTCAAAGCGGAATAAATTTTTATTCCGAATTAAATAATTTTTAATCGTAATAAAAGCTCTCATGTAAACGTGGCGTATGTTAACTTTTATTTTGAAAATCTCCCTTTGCTCCCCACGCTAAGTCACTCCCCCTTCAGAGCAACGAAACCACCGCACATCGGAACAGTTGTACGAACAGTTTTGCGACGTGCTTTTGTGTATTTATGAAGAGTTGTCACGTGGGAGCGTGGGCGACGTGGGTTTGTGGGCGGAGCCTCGTACCGAATTTTTGTTTATTTGTTGCTATTCTATGGTTTTGCTCTTATTTTATCTTACTGGTTTTATTGTTTTGAGACTAGTGCGGTTAAATCTGAGCGTTTATTTTATCGTTCTATTGTTGAAACTGTTTGTGAAATGTGCGAGTGGATCGAGTAACCGTAAGAAGGGTTTGAGAGATCGCTAAATGACTCAAACAGGCGCAGACGGCCTAATGTCGGTCGTACCGTTTAACCACTGCCGACGTCTTAATAATAAATAAATAAATAAATATAAATAAATAAAGTTGGGGTCTACAGCTTTCATAGTTCAGCGATTGCCTCTTTCTCACGTTAAATCATGTAAACATTAAAAGTCCAGACAAAACACGGTCCCTTAAAATCCTCGAGAGTACGTCGCCGTGACAACGTGTCGGGTCTGATGAGTCTGTACACCTCAGGCCAAGTCTGCGCAGGATCACGGACCGAGAGGATCACGGATCCTGGACCGAGACCAAGTTCTGTCATGTACAAAGTTTTCTACTGATGTTTTAACGATTTTCTTCTTGGAAATCATCAGCGCCCAAAGGAAAACACGGCCTCTGTATTTGACCCGCGCTTCAGTGTCGGTGAAGGACCAAGACCAGGACCAAGGTCTAGACCAGTACCAGACCAAAACCAAGAATCAGGACCTAGGAATACACCAGGACCAAGGGCCTAAGAGCAGCCCAAGTACCAGGCCAAAGACCTAGGACCGGACCAAAGATCCAGGACCCACGACCCAGGACCCAGGACCAGATCAGAACCAAGGACTACACCTGGACCAGGACTGGGACCTAGGATTAAACCAGGACCTAGGACCAGGACCAGGAACGAGGATCAGACTGAGACCAAGGACTACACCAGGACCAGGACCGGGACCTAGGACCAAGAACCAGACCAGCACCCAGAACCCAGGACCAGACCAGCACCAGACCAAGGACCAAGGACTAGACCAAGACCAAGACCCAGGACCCAGGACTCAGGATCCGGGACCCTGGACCCAGGACCAAGGACCAAGGACCAGGACCTAGGATTAAACCAGGACCAAGAACCAGACCCAGGAACTAAGACCAGACCTGGGACTAGGCCAGGACTAGAGCAGGGACTTCATATTTCCAGCTGTTTCAAGACTCTCTGGAGGATTTTTATTATGTTTTTGTGTAGTTGCGTAAAGTTCTTAAGACAGATTAGAAAACCCATTTTACTAAAACACAATTAAGATTTTTATATTTAAGATTTTATAAAGTACTTGTATTTTTTTATTCCAAATTTGACTCTGTTTGGAAATCGTGACCATATTGTGCACTCGTCCGAAACTCCTCGACTACTAATTATTATTTGACAAATAAAAATATAAGAAAACACATTTATTTTGTTGAAATTATGTTTAAAATATTGGAGAAAATGTGTTTCTTTTGTGTAAATTGTGCTCAACTTTTAGACAGAATTCTCCCTACTGTAATTTCCAACAGATTTTCTTCACAAACTTTTCCAAAATTTGAGAATCGTCACCACACTTTTTTTTTGTTTACTTAAACCGAAACTCACCCAGACACGGACAGAACCTCACACCGAGATGGTTCTGGGTTCCAATCTCGAGTTTTTCCCGTGTGGAGTTTGCATTTTCTACCTGCGTTTGGGCGAGTTTCGTTTGATTTTCTCCATCAAAACTTGCACAAAAAGTGAAATCCTCGAGCAAAGAAAGTCCTGACCAAGATCTAGAGATGGTCCAGAGACACTGAAAATCGGGTCAAACGCAGAAAACCAACTGTACTTTTTTCTACTTTTTAACGTCTCTAGAAAAACCACGACGTTCTTTTCGGTCGGTGTGATTTCTGCCGAGACTTGGCCTGGAAGAAAATGGAGGAACATCAAGCAACACAGACACACGGCAAAAAATTACACTCAAATTATCCAAATAAAAATCGCATCGAGTTTGTTTTTTCCGGGCAGATTGTTCGAAAGAAAAGCTCTGCTCTTCTGCATCCACCCCAAAGTCCCGCCGAAGGGTCCTTGAATATTCACAAAGTCAAATCTCACTGCTCCCTTAATCCCGGAGAGATCTAAGGTAGTCCGGCTGAGATCCTACTTCTCCTGTAACACTGATTTAAGGTAGCCCGGGTGAGACGGTCCGAAAAGGAAGCTGCAGATTTCCAGTCCACATTCATGCAGCGAGTCTCGGGTTCGACTCCGACGAACGGGAAATCAAAAGAGGTGAAAGGGAGAGGTGCTGTTGAGCAAGGCGGCGACTAGGACTACGCAAAGTTGGCTTTTGTTCGAGGAGGTTCCGATGAAGGAGGACGAAAAATCTGGAGAAAAACGACTAAAAAAGACAGGAATTGTTTTGTGTATCGAAGCAGTTTACACCAAAAGTTATAGTGAGGATTTCACGATTTTAAACGTACAATAATCGTTTACTTTGGGTTCATTTCGGGTTCGTTTTGGGTTCGTTTCGAGGTTCGTTTTGGGTTCATTTTGCCTTTGTTTTGAGTTTGTTTTGGGCTCATTTCTGGTTCATTTTGGGTTCATTTTGCGTTTGTTTTGGGCTTGTTTTGGGTTCGCTTCGAGGTTCCTTTCGGGTTCATTTAATTTTGTTTTGAGTTTGTTTTGGGCTCGTTTCAGGTTTGTTTTGGATTTGTTTCAGGTTCGTTTCAGGTTTTTTTTTCAAGGTTCGTTTCGGGTTCATTTTAATTTTGTTTTGAGTTTGTTCTGGGCTCGTTTCAGGTTCGTTTCAGATTTGTTTCGGGTTCGTTTCAAGTTCATCTTGGGTTTGTTTTGGGCTCATTTCGGGTTCATTTCGGGTTTGTTTCAGGGTCGTTTCTGGTTCATTTTGGATTTGTTTTGGGCTCATTTTGGATTCGTTTTGGGATCATTTCAGATTCGTTTCGGGTTTGTTTTGGGTTTGTTTCGAGGTTCATTTTGAATTTGTTTCGAGTTTGTTTCGGGTTCGTTTTGGGTTCGTTCATTGTTTTCTGTTTTTGTTTTAAATCAGACCAATTGCTTAGCACCTCTTAATTGTACCAAATTTGTCCCAAAATGACAATGCGACGCTGCAGAATCCTACACGTATCAAGAAAATAAAACTATAGATCGAAGTAAGTACAGAAAAACCAGTGGAAGTCAAAACCAGGAGATGATCGAAGCAATGACGTCTTGAAAACAGGAAGATAAAGGTTACTCAAACATGCACGAATCACTCTAAACACGACTTCAAACGACGGTAAATGAGACGGAAAACGACTATAACTCTAATTAAAAGTCCATTTTGCATAACCGCTTTATAATATTTGGTGTAAACGAGCTTTAACAAAAAACAAATTGCTGTGTTTTTTTGTTGTTGTTGTTTTTGTCGTGCGCAGAGTCCAGTCCAGGCACAGCAGAAGATCAAACCCGGGAACAACGCGAAAAAAACAAAACAAGAAGTGGTGAAGACGAGAGCGAGGAAGAGGGGGTTTTTCCATAATATTCTGTACAGAGCGCGGCATAGCGACCCAGCGCCAGCTCGCAGAGTCAAAGTTCAGAGGTCAGATGTCCCGTTACGAGCGCGAACGTGAGAGACAGCGAGAGAGAGAGAGAGAGAGAGAGAGGCCATTTCGTTTTGTTCGGTTCAGACGAGGAAAGAGGGTCCGGCTGAGGAAGAGGAGGGCGGGCGGTCGGTCGGTCCTGTGCTGGTGAGATGAGTCCAGTAGAGACAGTTTTACTTTTAAGAACCAACTTCGGCTTCTTCTCAGAGTCACAGAGGAGAAAGAGGAGACGGGGCTGCGCGGCAAAACTCCATTATTGCAATATCACATCGGAAAACGCGATTAACGTGTTCGAAAGACTTTGGGGAGCTCGGTTTGACTTTGGAAAACGTCTGGAGAATTTCAGTTTTGGGGTTTTCTTAAAGGAACAGCTTGTATCCTGAGCTCGAGCGCGGATTAAATGGTTCAGGGAGTGTCTTTTTAGAACAGAGAGAGGCTTTTTAGGTTTAAACCAACAGGATTTCAGCCGTTTTCGGACTGGACTAGAACCAAAACACCAAATTATAACGTAAATAACCTCCGTGTGACATTTGTTCTTTTGAGTTTCAATCAAGAACGAAAAACAATCAAATGGGAAAACAGTTATTCCGTTTTAGTGTCAAACAAACAAACAGATTTTGATTCTCTATTTCCATTTTCCAAATTTCCAAGTTTTTTTCCAAATAACACCAGTCACATAAAAGAACAAAAACTTCGCACATCAGTTTCTTGAAACACGTGCGCTGGAGGGGAACCTAAACCTAAAGAACCTAAAGATAAATCCCCCACACACCCTTTTACTTGCAAAATGTGAGATTTACTAGACTGACACTGAACACTTTATTTTCCTGCTGCTGATCACATGCACTTTAGATCTTGAATTCAATTTGTTAAGACAAAGAGAGCCTTTTCCCCTATTTCTTCACTTTTCATTTCATTTACATCAAGTCAACTAAACATCTAAATAACACTGTCCCGGGTTTGTTTTATTCAGTCTTTGTTTAGTTAAATTAATCACTATTCACAGAGTTACTTTAAATTCATTTTATTTGGTTGTATCTACTCATTTTACCTGCGACTCCACATGGTTTGGAGACAAAAAGGGGGCGTGGGGCAGGTTTTGGGCCAGACCAAGACTCGGATTCAGTTCTTTTTGTTTTATGGATTTGGTTTGTAGGATTTGGTTTCAGTGTTTCTAGTTTATTTATTTCTGTTTAATTTAAAGGGGATTTAGGTCCTCATACAAAAATATAATTATAGCACATCTACAAACGGGGAAGTTAATAAGACGGACTAACCTGTGTGTGTTGGTGTGAACCCAGGGGGAGGGACTTCCTGTCTGGGTACTATAAATGTGGGAGCAGTTTAGCCATTCGGGGTTGTTCACCATCAGTATTTTCCTTTGTTTCATTAATTTCTGTTGCTTTTGGGATTTTTTTAAGCACAGTTATTTTTTTGATAATGGGCCCGGTCAAGCAGAAGTAAACACCAAGGTCAAAAATTCAAGTTAATGCATCTGATATAAAAATGTATTGAACAGATACATATGTACTCTAGTTTATGAAACTGTTGACCTTTTTTCTGTACCATTTTTGGTTCTAAAGTTCCATATGTTTTAAACAGACCATGTATGAAACATGGAACAAAAATTATTTCCCAAATTTCAAAGACCTGAAAATCATGTAAATAAATGGATGTATTTCATCATATCTTGTGTTATTCCATCTTTGAACTGTTGATGAAGGGACATGATTTAAAAAAAAAAAAAAAGTATTTAAAATGATAAAAATGTTCTTGGAAGGACTGACATATTTTATAGAAATAGTTTCCTTTCATTTTGAAGTAATATTAAAGTATTCAGAAGAAAAAAGTTGACAAATTATGTAAAATCCTGCACCTTCTACTTGTTTGTACAATTTTCCCTCCGTTACTTTTCCCTCCGTTACCATGAACTTTCTTAATAAAAAATCTCATGAGTCAAAAAGTAAGAGGTTTTTCAACCTAATCTTGTACCATATGGTAGAAAACTATATGAAGCAAATATTCAAACCAGTTTGTTAAGGATATGTAAGTGAGAACCAAGAGTTATCACTGTTTGGATTTATTGCCCAAAAAGTGCTGCATATTTCATTCCCTCTGTTACCGACATGAGTTTTTTAATTTTTTGTCAACAACTTGAAAGAATCTCACAGGTTTAACTTGACCCTGTTGGAGTGTAACTCTTTCCTACATTCTGATACTTTACTTATTTCAATAGTTCCTCTAGTTTCTGAATAAGAGACATTTGAATGTCAAAAATCTGCCCCTGTTTCCCTCCGTTACCACTTGACTGGACCCAAATATGTATTTTTTTCATTTTGCCCACAACTCCACGGTGAAGGAACAAATAAATATTTTGGTAAAGGGACTTTTTTTTTTTCTTTGACCACTTTGGTCAGCTTCCCCACAAAGTCAGATTCTAGAAATTGAGAAATAGACAAACTGCACTGAAATTGGTTCTTTTTTTGAGTGAGATTCTCCAAAGGAAGAAGAATAAACGTGAACTTTACAAACTAGTGCCCTGCTCCTGTGTAAAGAAATACTGTTCGTACAACAAATGTGGCACTTTTGTTTACATTTCCAGTAAAAATCACTATACGCTACTGGAATTCATTAATTGGTTTTGCAAATAACATGCGATTTAGTGTTATTAATCCTCAACCGCTCTCTCCTCCTCATGAGCGAACCACAACTCACTTCAACCACACCTCTAATTTCCCAGAAGTCAATTCGTAGCAGCTTTTCCCATCGTCCCAGTTTGTCTCGGTGAACTCGACCCCACCCTCCCACCTCCTGTCTTGTTCGTCTTTAAGCCACAAGACTTCTACTGAACTTCTTCTTCGCACTATGTCGTTGTCGGCGTGACTCAGGAACTCACGCGATTCATATTTTCTATTTTTGCCCAGCCCTACTATTTTTTGATCGCTGTTGACCGATTTGGAATAAACTTTAAATTAAATATTGGAAATCGAGGTTGAAATCTGTTTGTTTTGTTTTTTTGTTTGACACAAAAACGGAATAATGAAACAACAAACTGTTTTCCGTTCTTTCAAAAATTCACAAGAACGAAAGGTACACGGACGTAGAATCAGCTGTATTTGATCTGAACTCGTCTGCCTCACGTCTGGAGACACACGTTTAAAAAAACTGATCAAAATCCTGCTTTAATTTCCTTTAGTGTCAATAATCAGCACATCGCCCTGGCGTCTCGTGCAGCCGCAGACTCTTTCGCGAGGAGGGGCTTCACCGGTGAAATGAGGACTTTGGACTTTGGTGGACGTCTCTTTCCGTTTTCAGTTTTTTTGTTGCATAAGTTTTGAAGTTTGAACACAATCGTTTCATGTCATCTGTCCTCGGGTCTGTGGTCCTCGTCGGGAGCGTCTCGAGGAGCGGGAGGTTTGGGAGACAACAGCGCCATCTCCAGGCCCAGGGCGGCGTCTTCTCGTAAGGACCCGCTGTCCGAGCCCTCGCCTCCGTCCGCCTCGCCCCCTCTTCTTTCCTCTCCTCCTCTTCGCTCCTCTTCCTCCTCCTCCTCTTCTCCGTTAGGCTCCTCCCCTCCGTCTCCTCTTGGCTCCTCCTCCTCTCCGCTTGGCCCCTCCCCTCTCTCATGTCAGTGGCGCACTTCGTTGGCGATCAGGCTGTCCTCGCCGGATTGGAAGTCCGCCTCGTTGATGCTGTTGATGGAGTTGTTGGCGTTGATGATGTCGTCGTCCTGCGAGGAGCCGCGGTCGTCCTCGCCGCTGCCCGAACCCGGCTCGTCCGAGCTCGGGTCCTGCAGGACCTGCGCGATGTAGGACTGCTGCTGCTGCGCCTGCCCCGGCTGGAAGAGGGGGAAAAGAGAGGAAGAGAGAGAGAGAGAAGAAGGGAGAGAGGAAGGAGGAAAGAGGAAAGAGGAGGGGAGAGATGAAAAGAGGAAGAGAGGAGAGAGAGAGAGAGAGGAGAGAGGAAGAGAGAGGAGAGAGGAGAAGAGAGAGGAAGAGAGAGAAGAGAGAAGAGAGAGAGAGAGGAGAGGAGAGAGGAAAGAGGAGAGAAGAGAGAGGAGAAGAGGAAGAGAGGAGAGGAGAGAAGAGAGAGAGAGAGAGAGGAGAGAGAGAGAGGAGAAGAGAGAGAGGAGAAGAGAGAGGAAGAGAGAGAGGAGAGAGAAGAGAGGAGAGAGGAGAGAGAGGAAGAGAGGAGAGGAGAGGAAGAGAGGAGAGAGAGGAGAGAGGAGAGAGAGAGGAAGAGAGAGAGAGAGAGAGGAAAGAGGAGAGAGAGAGAGGAGAGAGAAGAGAGAGAGGAGAGAGAGGGAAGAGAGAGGAGAGAGGAGAGAGAGAGAGGAGAAGAGGAAGAGAGGAGAGAGAGAGAGAGGAGAGAGGAGAGAGGAGAAGAGAGGAGAAGAGGAAGAGAGGAGAAGAGAGAGGAGAGAGAGAGAAGAGAGAGAGAGAGAGAGAGAAGAGAAGAGAGAGAGAGAGAGAGAGGAGAAGAGGAAGAGAGGAGAGGAGAGAAAGAGAGGAGAGAGGAGAGAGGAAGAGAGGAGAGAGAGAGGAAAGGAGAGAAGAGAGAGGAAGAGAGGAGAGGAGAGAGAGGAGAAGAGAGGAGAGATGAGAGGAAAGGAGAGGAGAAAGGAAAAGAGGAAGAGAGAGGAGAGAGAATAAAGAGATGAGTTAGAGACTGAGCATTTGTTTTATAACTGTATCATATCACAGTTTGCAAAATTCAATTGTAGACTGCAATTATTTAAGTAAAATTACTGCTTTCCCAATGCAAAGTACGTCTGTAGTCAACTAAAGAAACTCTTAAGACCGCCACACACTACAGGATTTTTCAGTCTTAAAAGATTTTACATGCGCGACAAAAAGCGCACACCACAGACACGAGGAGAACCTGATGAGACTTAAAATACACGATTTTATGTTTGGTGGTTACAGTCTGACACTGACACACACGAGGAGGCAGCGGCTTCGAAATCACACACCAAGACAAAAAGTCGGGTGACGCTTCCCTGAACTCCGGGTGCCTGTAAAGTGTGGCGGCCTTTCATCGACTAAAGACATGTCCTACCCATCAAGTAGTCAACTGTTTGGTCTGTTATTAATGTTCATATCTTTATTTAGGGACAAAATAGCTAAATAAAAGCACAAGCATCATGTAGAGTGGGTTAATACAACATTTTTAAGACCAAAATACGAAGTCTGACAGCAGCAGTTACGCAGAGAGGGCCCGCGGTTTTTCAATAAAAGGTGAGCTGGAGTCAGAGACAATGGAGCCAGAAGTGTGTCCATGTTCACAGTGGCTATGTGCATGTAAATACAGTCTGTGAGTAAGTGTTTATGGGGAGCAGAGTAGAGGAGTATATTTTTATTCCTGACCGGGGCCTTGGCGGTGGGGGAGGTGGTGCTTCGTGCTGGTCGTCCGTTCTCCACCGTCTCCACGTCGGCTTCTTTAGTGTCGATCTGAAATCACACAGAAACACTCACACACTGTCTGGAAACCGGACAGAACACAGGTGTCAAACATGCGGCCCGGGGGCCAGATCCGGCCCTCCAAGACCTTTAATCTGGCCCTCGGCTGATTTTCTACTAAAATATTTTAATTATATTTTCTATAAAAATCTTGTTAATTTTCTGCGGTGTTTATCACAGCAGCGTCTCCAGCGTCTCTGTACGTGGCCCCTCCCACCAGAGCAGCACAAATGAAGACTTGTCTCTTTCCAAACGCTCTTAAAGGACGATCGTTTTGACTGTTGACCGTGACACCCTCATCAGAAAAATGTCCAACATGAGAAAAGTGACATTGTGTTAAAATTGCATTTTTCTTAAAGTTTCAGGTTGTTCATAATATTATAATATTTTGTAAAAGAAAGAGTTCATCAATTAAAAAAATTTCTGTAATAGATTTGTGTTTCTCTGCACAAATATTTGAACTTATTGTTATTTTTGGGGTTTATATGTCATGAGTTTTCTGATCCGGACCTTTGGGATCAAAGTCGGTTGAATACGGCCCCCGGACCAAAATGAGTTTGACGCCCCTGGGATAGAACATAATCCTGTGTAACCAACAAAAGAATGAGTGAGTGTGTGGCAGTGTAATCTGATGTACTTTGCAGTATCCTGAGTGTGTACTTTGTACCACTGAAAAGCCTGGACTTCAGTGACACTGAAACCATCCTGTCGGGATTCAGAAAGACCCGAATAATTCTAACTGGAACTGATGCTGAGTCTGACGACAGCGACACAGAAGAGTTTGCGGCGCAACGTTTACCTCCGGAGGTCGAGGAGTTGTTCAGAAGTGACACCGAGGATGAAGAATTGAATGGATTTAGTGATTTGGAGTGAGATGGAGAGTTTGTTAAACTTGTTCTGTTCTGTTGTTTATGTTATAGTTTATCTGAAGAACTGTTCATATGTGACGTTAACAGTCTGTTGTTCTCTCTTCTATTGTTTTTACTAAAACTTTACACAGGAAATGTTGGTTCTTTGTCTCTGATTTTATAAAATAAATTCCCCTCGCTGGTGCAACTTATAGTCCGAAAAATATGGCAGTCTACCCAGTACACTGAGTACTCTGTAGTGTAGTGAGTATTAGGCCTGTCACATTATTGTTTTTAAAGTGTGATACTGATATATTGTTCAATTAAATAAACAATAAATAATAATATTTAAACTAATCTATCCCACTGACCCAAAAACCCAAGAGCAGAATTATACCAAAAATCATTCTAAATCTGTTAGAACAGGAGCTTCAATAAAAAAACAGCTGTTTAAGAGCATCTAAAGAAGTTAGTATGAAATTAGTTTGTGTACCTAATAACTATAACAAATCATAGAAGTTTAGAATTCAATTTCTACAGCTCATTGTAAAACAGAAAAACAACCAAACTTTCCCACTAGTGCAAAGAAAATGTTTCCACAATAAATACTGACTCCCAAAAAGTATTGTTCCATCCGTCATATACTGAATAAGTGAGTACATATATGCAGTATATTTTGTACTTGCAGTTGTGAGTACATGATATTTGTAGTATTTGTTGTACGTTGTAGTTGTGAGTACAGAGTATTTGCAGTATTTGTTGTACCTTGTAGTTGTGAGTACAGAGTATTTGCAGTATTTGTTGTACGTTGTAGTTGTGAGTACATAGTATGTGCAGTATTTGTTGTACCTTGTAGTTGTGAGTACATAGTATGTGCAGTATTTGTTACACCTTGTAGTTGTGAGTACAGAGTATTTGCAGTATTTGTTGTACCTTGTAGTTGTGAGTACATAGTATGTGCAGTATTTGTTGTACCTTGTAGTTGTGAGTACAGAGTATTTGCAGTATTTGTTGTACCTTGTAGTTGTGAGTAGAGCCCGACCGATATGGATTTTGTTGTGGCCGATATGAAACTGATATAATGGGAGTTGGCGCTGCCGATATAATCACCGATATATTTAGTGATGTAAAAATTCACTGTAAATCTTGAATTGTTTAAAAAACTTAGGTTTGGCTCTAGTGGATTCTAAACTGGGTTTATTTAGGCAACATTTATTGTTATTCTGACTATTTACATCATATTTACATACAGTAGTTTGGCCTAATGGCATTTTTGCATCACATTCTAGCTACTAGTGATGGGTATTCCAGTTTTTTTTGGGGGGAGAACCGGCTCTTTTGGCTCGGCTCACTAAAGCAGCTGGCTCTTTCGGCTCCCAAGCGACTCTTGAGATTGTTTTGTTGCAAGCAGGACTAAACCAGAACTGAACCAGGACTGAAAAAGGACTAAACCAGGACTAAAACAGATTTAAACCATGTGTGAAACAGGACTAAACCAGAACTTAACCAGGTCTGAGTGTCGGGACTCGGTCTCTCCTTCACTCGAGCCCAAGTTTAGTCCTGGTTTATTCATTTTATGTTGAACTACAGCCAAATATGCACTTTTTTAAAAAATCCTATGCACACGCAGATTTCTGAACGTTTCGTTTTCAGCCGCTGCTGCTGTCAAACTACAGGTCTACAAGCGGCTTGAAGAGAAAAAGTGAGAAAAAGAGAAAACACGGCTCCCAATAAAAAACATGCTCTCGTCGTTCACTACAAAGAGCCGGCTCTAAGAGCCGCTTCGATCGCGACCGACCCATAACTCCTAGCTAGAAAAAGAAACTACCGCTATTAGCCTTTAGCCGTAAAAACGTGCGCACCGCGGTAATTAATTATATGCATAAATGTGGATCATTCACACGTCTATTCACAGCTCTTTTTACATATCAATGCTGGTCCAGTAGCAAATGTACGGACAATACAGTCACTTTATAATAAGCCAATAGAAAACAGCCTGTTTATGTGCGGGAGCTACAGCAGCTAATCGCTAACAGATAACCCCTTCAAAGTCGACATATTTCCAACACTCACCGCTCACACAGGCTCCTCCTCACACATCACAAGTCTGCACTAATAAATGTCCTTTTAATCCAGACTCAAACCGATTGTCCATAAAAGAATATAATCTCAGTGTTGCGCACCACTGCAGGTGTAAACAAACACACACGAGTGAAGTGACGTCACTCTGGGGGTGTGTTCAGGGACAGTACAGACACAAATTACACCGCAAATAAATACTGATGCGGAGCCACATATTAGGACATCGATCTGTCTATAAATTGGATTAAATTAACATAATGTAGAGAGTCTAAGCTTTATAAGGAGGTATAACATGCCCACGTGAAATATCGGCCCATATCAGCAAGCATATCGGCCGATAGCCGATATGTCTCCAGGTGCCCATATTGGCCGATAATATCAGCCAGCCGATATATCGGTCGGGCTCTAGTTGTGAGTACAGAGTATTTGCAGTATTTGTTGTACCTTGTAGTTGTGAGTACATAGTATTTGCAGTATTTGTTGTACCTTGTAGTTGTGAGTACATAGTATGTGCAGTATTTGTTGTACGCTTGTAGTTGTGAGTACAGAGTATTTGCAGTATTCGTTGTACCTTGTAGTTGTGAGTGTAGAAAAGGCCCCCTTGTGGCCACAGACTTTGACACTCTCTCTCTCCTCCCTTGCCGTGCACCTCGCTTCACCTGGACTCTCGTCCAATCAGAAGATGCCTTGGACTCTTCAGCCTGCAGCTAGTTGTTAGTTGAAAAGTTCGATGCAAGCAGCAGTGTTTAGTGGCGCTGTTATTACCTGCTTGTTTTTTGTATTTGCTGTCCTCTGATTGTGTGAAGTGTGTGCGTTCTATGCAAGTAAGTGAATGTGTGTCAATGAGAGTGAGTTTTATATCATTTGTTCTTATTACACTTTGTTGTTAGCTTGGGCCTACTTTTCCTTTAGCCTTGTTCGTTATTATACGTATAATGTTGTGTTTTACCTTGCCGTGTTTAGTTGATTTCCATTTACCGATACCGAGTATTCGTATTCTGTCGCTAATTTCGTAGTTATGTAACCCATGCACGGCGTGGTTCTTAATTGGTTGTAGGCTCGAGGCAAGCCTTGTCACGCGCTCGCTAGGCAGGCCTCGAGCAGGTATTGTATTTACCTTCGTGGCCACCAGAGGGAGCCATGCCTGTTATCTATTTTTGCGACCACCAGATGGAGCTCTTGTATTTTCAGTAGTATTCGTTTTCTGCCTTTCTGGTGAAACTGACAGTGCCATATATATGTATATATAGTGATATATGTCAGTTTGACCATGTTTATTAGGGTTTTCAGTTGTTACATGTTATTTGTATAGTTTTTTTAAGGTTCATATTGTATACATTTACATTATTCATTATTGTTTGTATTTCTTGTCTTTTCAGAACCACACACACACATACCCATACAGACAGCCTCCAATAAACATCCTCCAATCAAGTCAAGCATCAAAGTGATTCTTACCGATCACCTGCTGTGGGTTCCCACTTAGCTATCCAGTACATTAATTCGATTAGGAAGCACATCCTTCCTCACAGTGAGTACAGAGTATTTGCAGTATTTGTTGTACGTTGTAGTTGTGAGTACAGAGTATTTGCAGTATTTGTTGTACCTTGTAGTTGTGAGTACAGAGTATTTGCAGTATTTGTTGTACCTTGTAGTTGTGAGTACAGAGTATTTGCAGTATTTGTTGTACCTTGTAGTTGTGAGTACAGAGTATTTGCAGTATTTGTTGTACCTTGTAGTTGTGAGCGCTGAGGTACTTGAAGTGACCGAAGCAAACGTGGGACAGACACACGACGATGGTGATGACCAGAACCACCAACGTGAACATCGAGGTCGGGGTTTCAAAACCTGAGACCAAACACGAGAGTTAGACCTGGTTTAGTCCTGGTTTAGTCCTGGTTTAGACCTGGTTTAGACCTGGTTTAGACCTGGTTTAGACCTGGTTTAGACCTGGTTTAGACCTGGTCTCGTCCTAGTTTTGTCCTGTTTAAGGTCCTGGTTTACTCCTGTTTTAATCTTTGATTTAGTCCTGGTTTAGTCCTGGTTCGGTCATGGTTTAGTCCTGGTTTAGTTCCTGTTTTAAAGCTTGTTTTGTCCTGGTTCAGATCTGATTCAGTCCTGGTTTAGTCCTAGTTTAGTCCTGTTTTATATCTGAACTAGTCTTTGTTCAGTCCTGGATCAGTCCTAGTTTTAATCCTCGTTTGCTTGAGATTTAGTCATGGTTTAGTCCTGGTTTAGTCCTGATTTAGCTCTAGTTTGCTTAAGGATTAGTCCTGGTTTAGTCCTGGTTTAGTCCTGGTTTAGTCCTGGTTTAGTCCTGGTTTAGTCCTGGTTTAGTCCTGATTTAGCCCTAGTATGCTTGAGGTTTAGTTCTGGTTTAGTTCCTGTTTTATGTCTGGTTTAGTCCTGGTTTGGTCCTGATTTGGTACTGGTTCGGTCCTGGTCTAGTCCTAGTTTTGTCCTGTTTTAGATCTAGTTTAATGCTGGTTTAGTCCTGATTTAGTTCTGGTTTACACCTAGTTTAGTCCTGGTTTAGTCCTAGTTCAGTCCTGGTTTAGTTCTGGTTCAGTCCAGCTTTAGTCCTGGTTTAGTCCTGGTTTAGTCTTGGTTTAGTCCTGGTTCAGTCCAGCTTTAGTCCCGCTCTAGTCTCACTCTAGTCCTGGTTTAGTCTTGGTTTAGTCCTGGTTTAGTCCTGGTTTAGTCCTGGTTTAGTCCTGGTTTAGTCTTGGTTTAGTCCTGGTTTAGTCCTGGTTTAGTCTTGGTTTAGTCCTGGTTCAGTCCAGCTTTAGTCCCGCTCTAGTCTCACTCTAGTCCTGGTTTAGTCTTGTTTAGTCCTGGTTTAGTCCTGGTTTAGTCTTGGTTTAGTCTGGTTTAGTCCTGGTTCAGTCCAGCTTTAGTCCCGCTCTAGTCTCACTCTAGTCCTGGTTTAGTCCTGGTTTAGTCCTGGTTTAGTCCTGGTTTAGTCTTGGTTTAGTCCTGGTTTATTTCTGCAGATATAATATGTTTTGTATGAGTTTTTTGTGTATTTTTTTCAGTCTTCTCCCTGCTGTTTTGACCGTGATTTGACAGGACCGCACCTGTCCTGACGGTGGAGAAGAAGAGCAGCCAGAAGAGGCAGAGGATGGGCGCGGCCACCACCTGCGTCACCGCCCCCGAGTGAATCTTCTTATCCAACTTGGACGGCAGGTACGCGTAGTACATGTTATACCTGTCCACCAGGTGCTTCAGCAGCATGTACATCAGACCTGAAGAAGACGAGGAGAGAGGAAGAAGAAGAAGAAGAGAGGAAGAGGGTTAGAGGAGGAAACATGTACATCAGACCTGAAGAAGACGAGGAGAGAGGAAAGAAGAAGAAGAGAGGAAGAAGAGGGTTAGAGGAGGAGGAAGAGGAAGAGAGAGGAGGAAGAGAGGAGGGTTAGAGGAGGAGGAAGAGAGACGAGGAAGGAGGAAGGAGGAAGAGGAAGAGAGGAGGAGAGGAGAGGAAGAGAGGAGGGTTAGAGGAGGAGGAAGAGGAAGAGAGGAGGGGTTAGAGGAGGAGGAGGAGAGAAGAGGAAGAGGAGGAGGAAGAGAGGAGGGTTAGAGGAGGAAGAGGAGGCAGCAGCATGTACATCAGACCTGACGAAGAGGAGGAGGAGGAAGAGGAGGAGAAAGAGGAGAGGATCAAAGGAACAGAGGAATAGAGGAGCATGAGAGGGTCAGAAGAGGAAGAGAAGAGGAGGATGTGAGGTTCAGAAGAGGAAGGGGAGGAAGAGGAAGAGGAGGAGAGGAGGAGAGAGGAGGTTAGAGGAGGAGAGGAGGAGAGAAGAGGAGGAGAAGAGAGGAGGAGAGGAGAGGAGGAAGAGGAAGACGAGGCAGCAGCATGTACATCAGACCTGACGAAGAGGAGGAGGAGAAAGAGGAGAGGATCAAAGGAACAGAGGAATAGAGGAGCATGAGAGGGTCAGAGGAGGAAGAGGAGGAGAGAGGCTCAGAAGAGGAGGAGAAGAGGAGGGATGTAAGGGTCAGAAGAGGAAGAGAGAAGGAGAGAAGAAAGAGGAGAGCAGAGGAGGAGAGAAGAAGAGAAGAGAACAGAAGAGAGGAGAGAAGAAAGAGAATGAGAGGAGGAAAGGGTCAGAAAAGGAGAAGAGTAGAGGAGGAAGAGGAGGAGGTCAGAGGAGTAGCGAAGGAAGAGGGTCAGAGCAGAGAAGGAGAGGAGGGACAGAAGGAGAGGAGAGAAGGACGGGGCAGAGGAGGAGCAGAGAATGTAGAAGAGAGGATCAGAGGAGGAAGAGGAGGAGGAAGAGGAGGAGGAGGAGCAAGAGGAGGAAGAAGAGAGGAGCAGAGAGGAGCAGAGGAGTGACACTGACCGAAGGGCACGATGATGGGGCAGGTGATGCTGTAGGCCATGACCACAGTGAAGACGTTCATCATCCAGGCGTACGCCGCCCCGAACTGGAACTCATACGCCTGATGCTGAAGAAGAAACACACACACACGAGTCAGAACACACAACTACACACACACGAGTCAGAACACACAACTACACACACACGAGTCAGAACGCACAACTACACACACACACGAGTCAGAACACACAACTACACACACACGAGTCAGAACACACACACACACACACGAGTCAGAACACACAACTACACACACACGAGTCAGAACACACAACTACACACACACACGAGTCAGAACACACAACTACACACACACGAGTCAGAACACACAACTACACACGGACTACAGTCCCCCTCATATTAATTGTGTTTTCCATAAATATTTGTGTCGTATCTTTCAATTTTGGAATATGAAAGAGGATCCCATTGTCCATCCCTGAGTCAAATTTCATGGGGTTTGGTCAATAATTAACCCAGATATTGAGAAACAAAATTTTTGGCCCCATTTACCACAATGTTAACTAAAATTTCAAAGTGATCCAGAATCCAGGATTTCTTCCGGATCAGCCCCAAAATGAAATCAGTTCTTCCTTTTCACATTTCCAACAAATCCTGAAAATTTCATCAAAATCGGTCCATAACTTTTTGAGTTATGTTGCTAACAGACAAACAAACAAACAAACAAACAAACAAACAAACAAACAAACAAACAAACAAACAAACAAACAAACAAACAAACAAACAGACAAACAAACAAACAAACAAACAAACAAACAAACAGACAAACAGACAAACAGACAAACAGACAAACAGACAAACAAACAAACAAACAGACAAACGCCGGCAAAATTACCTCCTTGGCAGAGGTAATTTTCAGGATTTGTTGGAAATGTGAAAAGGAAGAAGTGATTTCATTTTGGGGCTGATCCGGAAGAAATCCTGGATTCTGGATCACTTTGAAATTTTAGTTAACATTGTGGTAAATGGGGCCAAAAATTTTGTTTCTCAATATCTCGGTTAATTATTGACCAAACCCCATGAAATTTGACTCAGGGATGGACAATGGGATCCTCTTTCATATTCCAAAGGCTGATCCAGATCTGATCCAGAAGACTGATTTTATCACAATGTATATAAAAAATGGGGGTAGTCCTTGGCGGAGGTCTGCGCTCTCTGACTGCTTTTCTAGTTTTAAAAGCCTTGACCTGAACATATAAAAGTATTTTCAAAATTAACACACAAACACACAAAAAAAAAACTTTTAAATACTTTTAAATAAAGTCCCCAAAAGCATATTTCATCAGTGTCATTCAGTATCACAAAGTTAAATCTGTTCTCATGTGAACAGTCGACACTGAAGCTTTTGTTTCTCTTTGATGAAGTATAAACCAGTTTAGAATGAAAATCTATGAAAAATGTCATTTGGTGAAATGGAATTGATCAATTTCGTGAAACAGACCTGTGCCTGTTGTAGGTAACGTAAAGCATTTAACTCAAAAATATAAAAATATTTTTTATCACCCAGCCCCAGTGTTTGTGTTTTTGTTCCTCACTCGTTTGACGTTGCGGCGGTCGGCGGCGGATCGGGCCAGAGACAGACGGATCATGTACATCATCAGACCCGGGATCCTCAGCAGGTCCATGGCGTTTCCGATGAACGCAGAGGCGATCACGTAGTTCACGAAGAACGCTCCGTTATCCGGCAGGAACACGCACCTGAACGCACCACGGACACAGTCACAACTCAAAACCAAAGGGTAAAGTTCTAGAGGTGAATATAACCTCTAACCCTATTTAACGTTTTGTCTTTCAAATTACATTCACTTTAAATTATAAATCACATGTTACGTCCCAACAGTTACTCTTTAAAATACTCTTCAAGTTACTCTTTAAAACTCTTCAAGTTTCTTTAAAATACTCTTCAAGTTACTCTTTAAAACAATCTAAGCTATTCTTTAAGTTACTCTTTAAGTTATTCAATAAAATACTAAGTTACTCTTTAAATTCATCTTTAAGTTACTTTTTAAAATACTCTTCAAGTTACTCTTTATAATACTCTTTAAGTTACTTGTCAAGTTACTCTTTAAGTTACTCTTTAAATTACTCTGCAAGTTACTTTTCAAGATACTTTTCAAGTTACTCTTTAAATTCATCTTTAAGTTACTCTTTAAGTTATTTTTTAAAATACTCTTCAAGTTACTCTTTAAAATACTCTTCAAGTTACTCTTTAAAATACTCTTCAAGTTACTCTTTAAAATACTCTGCAAGTTACTTTTCAAGATACTCTTCAAGTTACTCTTTAAGTTACTTGTCAAGTTACTCTTCAAGTTACTCATTAAATTATTCTTTAAATTACTCTTCAAGATGCTCTTTAAGTTACTCTTTAAAATACTCTTAAGTTACTCTTTAAGTTACTTTTTAAGTTACTTTTCCTTGAGTTTAAATACAACAGTGTAATTTCAAGCAAAAACTGTTGTTCCCCATCAAATTATTTTACTTCTATGGGCTGTTAACTGTATAAAGCAGAAGTGTGAAGTATTGCTCCAAGAAATTACTCAAGTAAGAGTAAAAAAGTATTTGGGAAAAGTATTACTCACTCGAATCGAACTGTAGCGTCAGCCAGAAACTTCTTGTCAAACAGCCAACGGAAAAACACATCCAGACTGAAACAGAGAATACATTTTTGAGACCAATTAGATTATAATTCATAAAAATCAAACCAGGATAAATTTGCAGATCACAATTTTGTAGGATTTGTGAAATTAAACAGGAAAACAAAAAAACAAATGAGCTTTTCTCCATGGAGATGTT